GATGACATGGAGAAACCTCATGGTGGCAGGCCCTGTCAAAGTTCTCCAGAGCCACAGTGCAATGTCAGGGGATGGGTGGAGCTGTGTGGCTCAGGGATTCCTAGGCCTTTCAGTGTAGGGAGCAGAGGGAACCCGGAGTGAGTGCAGCCCAGAGTGAGGGCCTCTGTGAACTGCACTGTGGACATGCACATGGCCAATCCAAGGACTCCCAGGCCCAGACCCAAACCCTTTCCCACGTGGCCCAGGCTCAAGGAAAAGCAGAGTTTTCTCAGGAGTCCATGAGTGACTGAGCAGTGTGTGTAAGGCCTATAACTATGGCTTCCTCCTCCTGGATGTTTACAACCTAGACGAACACACACACACACACACACACACACACACACACACACACACACCCATGCTGTATGTAACAAACACCCTGAGGTTCTGGGTTGCAATGGTTTAGAAAACTCTCACCCAAACGGGCTTTATTGTACAAGCGTCTGCACTTTCTTTATTCCGTGCTCACTCCTACTCAGAGTTCCAGGACATAAGCTGCTGGGGTCTCGGCATTCCAGACGTTATTCAACTACTGGGAATGAGACAGTCTCAGGCTCGCCATCCCTGAGAGGAGCATTGAGTCCAAGCCCTGGAAGTCCGCCGCATAATGTTCTTCATGAATTCAAAAAATGGCTTTGTATGTGGCTGAAGAGCTTTGTATGTGGCTGTCTATTTGGTCACCCCACAAGAAAGCAGGACCCACAGGACCTCCCCACCCCATCCCTTATAGTTTCTTACCCATGCCTCCAGATGTGTGGTGTGTGAATTCTAAAGAAAATGGGCCTTGTATGTGAGAACCGGTACAAGGCATCATGGGATGTAAGGGGCAGATGGGTATATATAGATGGGTTGAAAGAAAGGACTTCTGTATTAGTCAGGACAAAAGCGATTCTTATCTGAGCCAGAGTTTGCCCAGCTCATCTGGAGGCAACATCAAAGTCCACAGGCACATCCCTGGTGCGGACTGTACTAGGGTCTGCTCAGAAGACCAACATCCCACTCTGACGGCTGTCTGTGCATAGTATGCTAGGAAACTATGCACATGGAGTGGGAGAGGCGGACCAGGATGACTTGGGGACAGTCAATGGTTGACTCAAGATGGCTTTGTTCGGGTCAAGCTGGAACCCACAGTCTCCTTATGCAGCTCTCTCCTCCTATGGTGTTACAGGCGTCTGGAGCTCTACTACTGTAGGTTTCCTCTAGAGCAGGGGTTCTCAACCTTCCTCACACTGCGACCCTTTAATACAGCTCCTCACGCTGTGCTGACCCCCAACCATACAATGAGATTTTCGTCGCTACTTCGTAACTGTGATTTTTGCTACTGCTATGAATTGTAATGTAAATATCTGAGATGCAGGATGGTCTCAGGTGACCCCTGTGAAAGGGTCATGTGACTTCAAAGGGGTCACAACCCTCTGCTGGAGATCCTCATACTTCACACGAAGCTCCTCCCTCACACTTGAGTGTGAACTCTCCCTCACTGATAAGAGTGCCTTCTTCCTACCAATTCATCTTGAAGCAAAACTGGGGAGCTGGCGGGGGTGGGGGTATGATGGAGAGGAGTTAATAGGCACAAGGACGGGACAAGGGAGAATGCGTAACTGAGCATGCGCAGTGTTGGGGAACCCAAAGAGGATGGTGAAGGACAAAGCAGGCCACTTTGCACTTGGTAGGAGTTTGCTCCCAGTTGGACCTGATTCTGTGCCCCCAAGGCTGACCTGGTAAGACCTCCGCACACTGTTGGAACCCACTGGGTTTCCTAGTGGCTGTACCCAGCAGGACTGCATAAGAGGTTGATTGGACCACGGGCCTGGCTACCAGGTGACTGTAACTAGCAAGGAGGAGGTCTTTTGCTCCACCCGTTGGCATTGTTATAAATAGCTCTTTGGAATAAAGCTCTGGACCCGGATAAGGATCCAGGCCCACCTGAGTCTATCCTGTTTTCTCTCTGTTTCTCTCCTCTCTATTTCTAACTTAAGTCTCTTATCCCCCATTCAAGAGTTCCTGGGGTAAGTAAGTGTGGGGACTGGTCCTCCACAGCACATGCCTCCTGCACGGACTGCAGGCTGCTTTCTAGCCGAGGAAAGAGGAAATGCAGAAACAGGAAACTGACTGAGGGCAGAGTCAGATACAGGAAGAGGAAAATGAAGACACATGCATGGTACAGATGATTCAGTTTGAAAGAGCAAACCTTGAAAGTTAAACATTTAGCCGGGTGTGGTGGCTCACACCTCTGCTGATATTTTGTTTGTGCTTTAACAAATAAATCTTGCCTGGAGATCAGAGTGCAGAGCCAGCCACTAGTCAACCATAGAGGCCAGGCAGTGGTGGCACACACCTTTAATCCCAGTACTAGGGAGGTGGAGACAGGAAGCGATAGAGAGGAATATAAAATGGGAGGAGAGAGGACCTCAGCTCTCTTTCAGTCTGGGGATTCCTAGAGGTCAGAAGTCTTTCTAGTGGCTGGCTCCTCTGCTTCTCTGATCTTTCAGCTCTCACCCTGATATCTGACTCTGAGTTTTTATTATTAAGACCAATTAGGATTGTGCTACACACCCCTGTAATCCCAGCACTCTGGAGCTGAAGGCAAGAGACTGCAGTATCCTTCAGTGACAGATCAAGGCCAGCCTGGCTATGTGGGACCCCGTCTCAAAACAAGCAAACTTACTGTGCTTTGAGTGACTAATGTTGCTCAGAAATAAACTTTCAAACATTGGTGATTTTAAAACAGCAAGTCAGCCGGGCGGTGGTGGCGCACGCCTTTAATCCCAGCACTCGGGAGGCAGAGCCAGGCGGATCTCTGTGAGTTCGAGGCCAGCCTGGACTACCAAGTGAGTTCCAGGAAAGGCGCAAAGCTACACAGAGAAACCCTGTCTCGAAAAACCAAAAAAAAAAAAAAAAAAAAAAAAAATAAAACAGCAAGTCGCCGGGCGGTGGTGGCGCATGCCGGGCGGTGGTGGCCCACGCCTTTAATCCCAGCACTCGGGAGGCAGAGCCAGGTGGATCTCTGTGAGTTCGAGGCCAGCCTGGGCTACCAAGTGAGTTCCAGGAAAGGCACAAAGCTACACAGAGAAACCCTGTCTCGAAAAAAAAAAAAAAAAAAACAACAAAAAAACAAAAAACAAAAAAAAGCAAGTCTTTAGGGAGTATTTAAAAAAAAAATAAAGCAAAGAGCTGGGCAGTGGTGGCTCACGCTTTTAATCCCAGCACTTGGGAGGCAGAGGCAGGAGGATGTCTGTGAGTTTGAGGCCAGCCTGGTCTACAGAGTAAGTTCTAGGACAGGCAGGGCTACACAGATAAACCCTGTTTCAAAAAACCAAACAAAAAATAAAGCAAAGAAAGGCTGCATTTCAGAGAAGGATTTCTCAGTGTGTATTATCTGCTATTGAGATAGTATAAAACACACACACACACACACACACACACACACACACACACACACACACGCACGCACGCGCACGCCTCAGGAGCATGCTCAAAGCTGCAAATAACTAACTGCACCCTCAGCAAATAGGGCTTTCCTTTCCAACTTGGAACAGGCAGCCAGCAGCCTGCAGCCTGGGCGGGTGAGCACGCTGCTACAGCAGCCACAGTAGATAGCCCTGACTAGATCTAGAATTCTCTATATAGATCAGGCTGGCTTCCAACTCAAAAGTCCACTTCTGTCTCCTGAATGCTGGGATTAAGGGATGCACGACCACACCTGGCTCTTTCACATTATCGTAATGCTTTCTGTTTTCCTCCAGTGTTACTTATGTGCAGTGAATGGGCACTGTGTGTGTGTGTGTGTGCGTGCGTGCGCGCGCGCGCGCGCATGTGGCACATGTGTGCATGCTCACTGCTGCATGCACTTTCTGAGGAAGACTGTGGGTGTCCTGATGTCACTGCCTTGTGCCCTTGAGAGACCTCTCACAGAACCTGAAGCTAGCTAGACTGGGCCCATCAAGCCCAGGGATCCTCCTGTCCCTCCTTCCCACAATACAGTGTTAAGGGTTTCCACACAGCTGCACCTAGCTTTTATTTTTATTTTTATTTTTTTTATTTTTATTTTTTGTGCATGGAGAGGCAGGGTGGCACATGCCTTTAAAGAGGCAGAGGCAGGTAGATCTCTGAGTTCGAGGCCAGTCTGGTCTACATATTGAGTTCTACGACAGCTACAGAGAAACAAAAAAATTATGTGTGTGTCTGTGTATCACTTGCATACTTGGTGCCCGCAGAGCCGGGAAAGGGCATTGATCTCCTGGAACTGGAGTTATAGATGGCTATGAACCATTATGTGGATGCCAGGAATCAATCAGACCAGGTTCTCAGGAAGAGCAGCCAGTAAGAACCATCTCTCCAGTTCCCCAAGCCTAATTTTGTTGTTGTTGTTGTTTTTTGAGACAGGGTCTCAAGTGTGTGGCCCTGGCTGTCCTGGAACTCGCTCTGTAGACCAGGCTAGCCTCAAACTCAGAGATCCATCTGCCTCCACCTCCCAAGTACTGGGATTAAAGGTGTGCACCACCACTGCCTGGCTTTTTTTTCTTTTAATGTGGGTGCTAGGGACTAAAACTTGAGTCCTCGTGCTTGGGCAGCAAGTATTTTATCCACTGAGCTGTCTTCCTGGCGCCCCCTCCCCACCCCCCACCCAGACACACACTAGTTGAAAAGGGACTTGGAATTTTGTTGCATTAGAGCTGTGGGTCTGCACGCAGAGCAGCCCAGCACATCCACACACAGAGAAGCCTAGCTTCTTCGTGAGCTCTACAAGACAGAAGGGAAAAGAAGAGGGCCTTGTTATTTTCAGCAAGACTTGAAGTTTAGTCATTCGACAGAAGAGACAATCTAAATCCAGTTCCACAGGCACCGAAAAGACAGTCCTGTGTCTGGTCTGTGCCGTGCTTGCCAGGGCATGGGGTGCATTCTCCTCAGGAATTTTCAGTTTGACGATCATCTTCAGGGTGAAAAAATGCTGAGCATCCTGTTGTTCTAACAGAACTCAGTTTATTCGTTTATGGAAACACACCTTTACTCATCTTTCTCCAACTCTGTTACTCATTCCTACAGACACCAGCCATCGATAACAACCCCACACGCCTTCCTATCCAATCACCCTCGGTCCCCAGGTTTTATTGACACACAGCACAAATCAACTCAGTTGTTCTTAACACACAGAAACCAGATGATCTCTGGCCTGGAACATTTGTCTTCAGCTTTTAGGAAAAGGTGACATACTAACTTACATATACATAGAAAATGCCTCTTAAACGTAATACCAAAGATCCATAGAGTCAGGATGGCATGTTCTGCAATTCTTAGCTCAGGAGCTCTGTAAACTGAGAACAGTAAAAACACGGGCGCACATACACTGATAGACAACAGACCGACACAATGAAATTCTCCAAATACACGTCTTATGAGGCTTTGCATTTTAAATGGGGCAGGAAAAAAGAATCCTAAAACAGGCATATTTCCTTTCCTTTTTACTTCCTGTCAATAGGATCTCAGTAGTTAATTCAGGCTGTCCTGGAAGTCCACATGGTCTACATGGCCAAGGAACCTTCAGCCTGTTTCCTGATCATTTCAAAGTTCTGGTTTTGTTTTGGCAGTGCTCGGGATAGGACCCAGGCTTTTTTATTTGGTTAAAAAAACTTAAAAAACGTCAGGCAGTGGTGGTACACATCTTTAATCCCAGCACCCGGGAGGCAGAGGGAAGTGGAGCTATATGAGTTTGAAGCCAGTCTGGTCTACAGAGAATTCCAGTACAGCCAGGGCTACATAGAGAAACAAACCCTGTCTTGAAAAAACAAAAAACAAACAAGCAAAAAACCCCTAAACAGCCAGGTGGCAGTGGCGTATGCCTTTGATCCCAGCACTTGAGAGGCAGAGTCAGCTGGATCTCTGTGAGTTCAAGGCCAGCCTGGTCTACAGAGCGAGATCCAGGACAGGCACCAAAAACTACACAGAGAAACCCTGTCTTGAAAAAAACAAAACAGAACAACAACAACAAAAAAACCCTAGGAGATATTAAAAGTTACCTTTCTCTGTGAAAAAAAAAAATCTAAGATAAAATTTGCTGCCACAATGTAGGTACACACATGGCTCTTTGTCTTAAGCTGTTTTCTCACAGGAAAGTGTGTTTAGAAAAAGTTCCTACTCTTGTGAGGTCAATGGCTGCTTTGAATGGTGAAATGTCAAGATACTCGAAGGCAGACACACACTGTTGCAATCAGAGACCCGGCAACCCATTTGCTGGAGACCAGGTATTCATCTCAACCAAAGATACTTCTCTATTCCTCTGAAACCTCACACAACCAGCTAAATATCAGCCAGTTTTTCTTCTTTCACGCCTTCCTTAGTTTTCACCGAGTCTCGTCCTAGGATTTGGAGAGCCTTTGCTCTAGCTTTCCTCGTGGGAACGGAGGCATAATTCAACCCAGTTCCCAGTGCCGTAAGATGCTCCCTCCACAGTGCTTCCTCACGTGGAAGGCAGGCAGGGCGTGCTGGGAGGGAGGCCATGTGAGAAATCAGTGACATGAAATGTTCGAGCAAGCTGGAAAAGCAGTTGCCGGGGTAAAGAGAGACCTGCCCATTCCAGGTAGAGTCTGTCTGGTTTGGCTGTTGCTGGGAGACTGTAACCAGCGCCTCAGCATGCTAGGCAGGTACCCCACTACTGGACCATACCTGCTGGCCCTCCAGGCTTCTCTCTGAGCCATTCATTGCGGGGTTTGTTTTTTTTTTTTTTTTTCTGGAGCTGAGGACCGAACCCAGGGCCTTGCGCTTCCTAGGCAAGTGCTCTACCACTGAGCTAAATCCCCAACCCCTGGTTTTGTTTTGTTAACTCCATATACAGTAGCTAGAGCTCACTGAAAGCTCAGAGCCATCACGAGAGGACCGACGAGACCGTCATTCCCACCGACACCAGTTACTTAGAACCGCAGACACTCACCGGAGCACAGGCAGAGTCTGTCCTTGAGCTGGCCCTGCCTCACGCAGTCCTGCCCCAGTTTTCCAGACACCAGGGACTGGAGGCGCACAAGCCCTGCCCTGTTTGACAGGGCAGAGCTTCTCTTACCAAGTTTCTACTTTCAGAGCTGTGGTTTGTTTTATGATCGTGTCTATGGCGGTGTGCTTCCTATACATATTTCAATTCTACAATGAAATGATAAAAGACGTCAAAGGCCAGGTGTGGTGGCGAGGCAAGCAGATCTCTATGAGTTCAAAGCCAGTTTGGTCTACGTAGAGAATTCCAGACCAGCCAGGGCTACATAGTGAGATCCGGTCTCAGAACAGCTATCACTCTGCCCAAATGATAAAGAAGCTAACATAAACCACTCTTTGTATTTAAACCCAGACTCCAGGTCTGTGGGTGTCGCTCAGTGGTGCTGTTTGTCTGGCAAGTGCTAGACTCTGGGGTCAGTCTCCTGCACGGCATAACATAGAATAAACACTGACTAACATAGAATAAACCTCACAGGGGGAAACCAGGGATGAGTGGGCAGGAGTCCTATGTGCCCTTCCTGGGGACAGCGTGGCCACCAAGCCGGGCACACCTGCAGCACTGAGTGGCAGCCCTTTGTCATTCCTATGGACCCGAACCTTCCTACATTTTGGCTGGCAGAATGAAACCATCTCCTATGTAGCATGTATCGTTTCTTTGAAGGTGCTGGAGTTGGAGCCCGGGGCCTGATGCATGCGGAGCAGACACTCTACCGCTGAGTGACAGCTCCAGCTTCATGCAGTCTTTGAAGAGAAGCTCGAACCATTTTGGTTTTAGAAAATTAAGTCGATGAAAGGTACTAAAAACAGATTTGTGAAGAAAATACTTCTCGTAAGTCACTGAGTGAACTCTGCATGGTGGCTTCTCCAGGGACTTATCCATTTCCCAGCTTTTTGGTCAGCGTTCTTTTCTCCGTCAAAGCTCAGGGCCGCTGGACCAGCTTACTCTTACTTCCTTCCTGTTCGCTGAGTTTAAAGTGGGTATAGGTGAGGATGCCGAACAGTGTGCATAAGATGCCAAGTCCCTGGTTAAACGACAGCGGATCCTTAAATAAAATGTATCCTCCGCACAGGGTGATGCAGAACTTGAAGTGTCCGAACATGTTGTAGCTGAGGTGTTCAGGTAAGGAGACAAAGGAGCAAAGAGCCAGATGTGCGGGTCACAGAGGCACACATTGACAGTATACCCACGGCAAAGGCTACCAGGGGCCAGAAAGAACGCCATAACACACAGACTCAACAGCTGCTGGGCATTTAAAGAACAGACACTTTGGTGACATGCTTTGGCGACAATCAGACTTTCTCTGGGCATGGTTTTAGCAATTTACAGACAGATTTCAAAGTGGTGACATGGCATTAAAATTATGTATGTGTGTCTGTCTGTCTGTACATGTGAATGTGATGCCCATGGAGGTCAGAAGAGGATGTTGGATTCCCTGGAGCTGGCGTTATAGGCAGTGTTGGCCACCTGATGGGAGTGTTAACCAAACTCAGGTCCTCTGCAAGAGCTGGGTGTACTCTCAACTGCTGAGCTGTTTCAGTAGCCCCAGCACAATTTATTCTCCCAGGTTGGATATAAACTACATAGACACACACTCCAAAGTGACAAGAGACTGCCTCAAGTATAATCCCGAGGACCTCTCCAAAGAGGTACTGCAGGAGGCAGGATGTGCAGAGCAGGGCACAGAGGAGACATTGGCACAGCAGTTTGTGGTTATGCCACGGAATGGCATGCCTAATAAATGGTCGCTGGCAATGAGCTGAGATGTGCCACGTGACAGGGAGCTGAGGCAATGAAAACTTCCAGGATGCCTAAGGTTCGGAGGGCAAGGGAGAGGAGCCAGGGAGGAAGCAAGAACAGCACCAGCCACCCTGTGAGGAGCTCTACCGTAAACATCTCACCTACCTCCACTACTTCTCACCTCTCCATTTACAACTGTGGAGGCCCGGAGATTCTCGTGACTTTAAAAAATACTGTATTTATGTACTCGTGTGTGTGTGTGCATGCCAAGGCACATGTATGGAGGTCAGAGGACAATTATGGACCCACTATGTGGGCCCCGTGAACTCAGGTCATCAGGCTTGGGGCAAGGTCCACCTGCTGAGTCATCTCAGCAGACCGCCTGTAATAACCAAGTGACACACAGTTCAAGTGTTGGGAGTCTAAACAAAGGTGGACTTATTTAACTCCAAAGTTCAGGCTGTAATCTAATATACTGCCAGCAGTTCATTACTGGGCTAAAGTTTTTTCCCAAGTCATCGTTCCTATTAAAAAAAAAAAAATCAAACCACATAAACATATACATACACCCCTCAGAAATTATTCTCCTGACATTTTACACATAATTATTTTTTTTCTATCTGAACTAATATTGTATTGCTCTTCGGATGCTACAAACCTGTGTTCTTCCTAGCAACAACACCATAGAAGCAGCTACCACTCTATGCCTCAGTTTCCCTGCCTATGATATGGTAAGATGATCTTGTGTCTACCTTACACGGTTGATGTGGATTAAATAATTAACACCCACGAAGATTCCAGTCTACAGTAAGCACCATCATGTGAGCTGTAAGTTACCAAGAGTGTAATAACCGACCGTGCTTGACAGGACCGCCCAGCACTGTGGATGCTACTGCCCCTAATTTCTCTGCTGTTTCCCTCACCCCAGCTTCTTTGCAGCGATGGGGACAATGAGCTGACTAAACCCAACCCTACATCCCTCAGTTCGTAAGTGACCTCAGTGGAACCACAGGAGCTCCCACAATACAGCTCACAGGAAGTGGTAGATCTGGGCAGAGGCCTAGCTCTGTCTGACCTCTATGCTCAGGCTCTCTGCTCGGTTTCCAAAACAATGCAGCCGGGCATGGTGATGCAGCCTTGTAATCCCAGCTCTCAGGAGGCTGAAGCAGGAGGATTGAGATTAGGGTCATCCTCAGCTACATAGTAAATCTGAGACCAGCCTGGGCTACATGAGACTGTTCCATGAAACAAAAAAAGCACCAATCAAAAATCAAAACGGGACGCACGTAGCAGTGGCCCTTAGGGGAACGTGGGCAGCCACCAGAGTACCGGCTTTTTTTTTGGTTCAGTGGAGTTGGTATCTGAGAGGCAGAGGATGTGGCCAGGATGGCTATCACAATACCACAGTGAGATAGACCTTATCTCAATTATGCGCTATCTTCAAATGTACTGCTACTAACGTGTTAGCTTCAACTACTCCAGCCCTGCCAGGCAGCTCATGGCCTGTCAAGGTCACTTATGAGCAGGGAAGGCACATTTAGTGACGCTCTATGGCGGTTCTTTTCCGGAACTGAAAACCCGGAGTGCAAGCTCCACTTCTCCCCTCTGCTCCAGCCTGCCTGTGCCTCAGCCCAAAGTGCTCTGGTCAAACTGTCAGGGGCCCTGCCTCGCTAGGTCTGGGACCAACTGCCAATCTTTCTCCAACCTGACACAGTGCTCCCTACCCCTCCTCCTCCGGTGGACCCATCATCACTCTCCTCCCCTCGGGGCTCCCCTGCCTAGTCCCCTTCTCCCCTCTGGGAACTCCGAAGGTGCAGTGCCCAGGATACAGTCTTTGTGAGTCTTTCCTCTGACTGGGTAATCCAAGTCACCACTCACATCTTTACACTGACTCAGGGACTACCTGTGGCTGACACCTGGTCCCCGAACCCTGCAACGGGAACTCTACCTGCACCTCAGACCTCCTCCCTAGACAGCCACTGCAAAATATATGGGACCCGCTCTCACTGCTTCGCATTCTCCACATTCAACTGTTCAGGACACCTGTTAGTGCTGCTTGGAAATGTGTCCAGAAGCCCAGGACTTCTCACCATTCTCTGTCACTTAAAAGAGCCATTTTTGTGTGTGTGTGCATGAGTGTGTGTGTGTGTGTGTGTGTGTGTGCATGAAGTGTGTGTCTATGTGTGTAAGTACATGCAGTGTGTCTGTGTGTGTGTCGGCCAGAAGAGGACATCAGATCCCCTAGAGCAGGACTTACAAGCAATTGGGAGCTGCCTATTGTGAGTGTTGAAAACTGAACTCACGAGATCCTCTGGATAAAGAGCAAGCGCTCTGAACTGCTGGGCCACCTCTGCAGCCCCATGAGCTAGTATTCATGAATTAGGAACTTAGGTGACACTAGAAACTGATGGTCTCCCTTCTCACTCACCTTTTCCAATTTTCTTCCACCACGGGAGCAATGGCCGCAGACATTTTTGACAGGGTGGGGCTGGGGGTGTTCCTGGCATCTAGTGGCAGAGACATGTCATGCTGCTGTCCTCTTGCAGGGACAGCACAGGCCCCCAGACAAAGCAGTCTGGCCTCAGGGTGGGCGGCACGAGGTGAGAAATCCTGCTCAGCACCACAGGTATCTACAGTGCTTCCATGAGGATGTGAGGCCATGTCACATCTCTGCTCCATGCTCCTATGGCTTCTCACCTCATGCAGGTGAAAGCTCCACTTGACCTAGCTCTCCCTGCTTCTCAGGGCACTCCCGCTTTCTGTGTTCACCCTGCTCAGACTCTCCTCAGGCCCCTCATCTGCTGCCGCCAACATCTAAATGCTCTTCCCAACCTCATTTCTTTCAAAGTCACCTTCCTGAGGCCACACGACTAGTCTACTGACTCTAATCCTGTCCCCAAACATTACATGCCTGCCTTCCTGCTTTATTATATTTTCCCTGTGGCTCTTCATAGTACCCATTACTACAGATTCATAACGAATTCTTCTTCATGTTTGTAGCCTGGCCTCCTTGCTAGAATTTAAGTCCGTGAAGGAGGAGATTTTTTTCATTGCTTTGGTTCACTACCGTACCATGAGTGCTGATACATAGTATATAGTATGTATACATACAGTATATGTCCAGTATAAAGATCCATTAAATCAAGTAACGGTCTGTAGTGCTTATTCAATAGATATTGTTGAATGAATGCTTTTGTTTGTTTGTTTAATGTGTATGAATATTTTGCCTGCATGTAAGTCTCTGTACCATCTGAGTGCCTGGTGCCTCTGGAGCCAGAAGAGGGCACTGAATCCCCTTGAACTGGAGTTACAGACAGTTGTGAGCTGTGGGTGCTGGGAATTGAACTTGGGTCCTTTGGAAGAGCACTTAGTAAGTGCTCTTTACCACAGAGCCAACGCTCGAGCCCTGAATGAATGCCCTGAACCAAGGCACGTCCTTGGAGGCCTAGATTTGATGGCATGAGGCACAGCTTGTGGGCCGAGATGGCTGGGTTCAAACCTGGGCGGTGCACTTCTCAGTCACGCACTTTAGTTTCTTATTCTGTAACGTGGGTTGAACTCAGGGCTCTGCTCATGCTGGTCAGTGCTGCACCATGGAGCCATAGTCCCTTCTCCTTCACCATGTGATCTTCCAGGAGTCAAGTTATTGTACCTCTGTGGCTCTTTCCTTGGCTGTAAAATGACAGACTTTTCCTTCACAGAGTTCTGACGAGAATTAAATGATCTGTTTACACAACAGTACCAGGCACAAAATACATATTAAGTACTGGGGTTGTGAAAGAAATTATAATCATTGTTACTTATTGATATTTGGAAAAATAGGCTATTTGTACTTTTGACATCTCAGTATTTACTCACTTCTATAAATCAGCATACTTTTTTTCTCTCCAGTTTTTAATAAGTGAGATCTCAGTCTATATATAGCCCAGGCTGGCTTCAAACACATGGCAATCCTCTGCCTCAGCCTTCCAAGTCCTGAGATTACAGGCATGAAGCATCATTATACCCAGCTTTAAGTCAGTATACTCTTGAAATAAAACATTACTAAACTACTTCTTTCAGATGAGGAAATTCATTCTTCACATTTGCTTAAAAATAGGGCAAAGTGAAATGCAAGGTAGAAAGAATGGCAGGCAGGCAGCGTGGTGAAAACTGGCCATGGAATTTATCCTTCAACACATAACTTCATTTTCTAAAAATTTGGAATATTAAGAACATTTATTTATTTGGAAACAAGAACACCCATTTCCAAATAAATACAGACCCACTTCAAATCAGATGCCCAGGCTATGAAATTACCTTTCGTCACATAAGCGGACCACACCTCTACTTTATCACCACAGATACCTGAAAACGGACTCAAACGTAAGCCTCCACTCCATTATTCCTTCAATAAACATCACTTAGGCCCACTCTTGGCAAGTCATGGTGCTAAGTCAGTTTCTATAAGAGAAAAGGTCACTACTACATGAGAAAACTCAAAAGTGTTCCTTTACAGAAAGCAAGCTCATTTCCTCAGTTAATAAATTCCATAGACACTAGTGTGGAAAGACGTTCTTAAAAAATTAAGGGGCTAGAGCAATGTCTCAGCAGTTAAGCTCACTAGCTGCTCTTCCAGAGGACCGGGGTTAGATTCCCAGCACCCATGTGGCGGCTTACAGCCATCTGTAACCTCAGCTCCAGGGAATCGATGGCTTCTCTGGCCTCCAAAGGCATCAGGCATGCATGTGTGCACAGACATACATGAAGAAAAACACCCATACTAATGAACTATAACAATAAAAACAGGTTAAAATAAACCAGCCTACTTAACAAACGGTAACAAATGGGAAACAAAGGCTACCCACACTTGAAAGTACATGGAAAGGATACGTGACCGGCGATGTGTTCCCAATGATCCAATAAATCGATAAGTTCACCATGAAAGCGATTACTCCAGACAGCAGTACCATAAGCTACAAATAAACCAAGAGAATCATTATAACAAGGCACAAATATGTCTCATTAAGAATATGCAAAAATGCAATCTTCACCCATTTAAACAAGATGTCACATGCTGGTAATCCCAGCTATACACATTAAATAAAGTAGATGCAGGATCACTGCAAGTTTGAGGCCAGTAGCTTACAGAGTTCCAGGCCAGTCAGAGCTTCACAGTAAGAGCATGTCTCAAAACAAACACACAAGACAAACGAACAAACTCCCTACAAAAAAAAAAAAATGAGTTTAGAGAATCAACTTGGAGCTGGGCAGTGGTGGTACACTCCTTTAATCCTAGCACCCAGGAGGCAGCGGCAGGTGAATCTCTACAGAGGGAGTTCCAGGACTCCATAGAGAAACCCTGTCTCAATAAGCCAAAACACAAACAAACAAACCTTCTTTTTTTTTTTTTTTTTTTTTGGTTTTTTGAGACAGGGTTTCTCTGTGTAGCTTTGTGCCTTTCCTGGATCTCGCTCTGTAGACCAGGCTGGCCTCAAACTCACAAAGATCCGCCTGCCTCTGCCTCTGCCTCCCGAGTGCTGGGATTAAAGGCATGCGCCACCACCGCCCGGCCAAACAAAACTTCTAACAAGCAGTGGGAGACCACAGTGATGACCTGGTACACAGCTGTGATCCCAGCCTTTGGGAAGAAGCAGCAGGAAGGTCAAGGCAGCTTTGGCTACATAGTGAGTTTGAGGCCACCCTGGCTATATGAGATGCTTTCTAAAACAACAAAAACCCAAAACCAAAAAACATAAGGGACTAGGAGATGGCTCAGCAGTTAAGAGTGCTTCCTGTTCGTCCAAAGGACCACATCTGGTTCCCAGCACCCAGGTTTGCTTACATCCACCTTGCAACTCCAGCTCCAGGAGATGTGATACTACTGGCCTCCAAAGATACAGACACAGACTGAAAAATAAAATAAACCTTTAAAACGCAAGCCAAGGAGCCAACAAAACAAAAAATATAGTTGTGAATGTGAATTTCTAGGTTCCTTTTTTTTTCCTTATTCACTTAAGGAAGAGATATTTTCTTTCTTTTTTTTCCAGAGTCTCCCTATATTGCCCAAGTTCCCTGTATAAGACCTAAGGACTCCTCTGGCCTCAGCTTCTGAGCAGCTGAGATACAGGCATAGCTCACTGAGCTCAGCTGTAATAAGTTCTCATTAAAAACAATACATGTATATTATAGAAAAACCAGAAAATAAAGGTAAGCAAAACAGTCAATGGAATATTTATAATCCCAACCACTACCCCATCTGCTAACTGAAAGACCCTAACCCTTCAGGCTTACACCCCCCCCCCCCAAGCCCCAGGAGAATGAGGAACTAAAAAAAAGCTAGTTCCAAGGGCAACCTGACTCAGCTATTACTTAACAATGTAACACTATAAAGAGATTTCTATTAAGAGATGCGCTCAACTGTGACTGGGATAATTGCAAGTGTTCCAGGAAGGACCACTGTAACCTTTGTGTAACTCTCACTCCCACCCTGACACCCCCCTTGAGGTTTCAGGAAGAACGTGCATGCCGACGTGACTGTACCCACTCTGTGATCACACCATGATCTTGAGGAATTAGCCTCTAGACATAAATCAATCGAAACGAAATTGTATGGGAATTGTAATCTTGTGGTTTTTGTGGGTTTTCCCTTTAAAAGTACCTGTGTGGCTGCAGTGCGATGTGACTCTTGCCCTCAGGACAAGGGGAGCCCGACTGTACAGCCGCTTTAAAATAAACCTCCTGCTGTTTGCATCAACTGGACCGGAGTCTGGGTTCTTGGGGCGCCCACTTGAGAAGGTAAAACCCGAGATTTTGAGGTCTATCCCTAACACTGAGGAATGGATACTCACAGATTAAATTCTGACGAATCATTCATTTTTATTCTTACTTAAATCAAAACCAGTATCAGGCCAGGCCTTGTGAGGAATACAGTAGAGAGTTCCTGCCCTCAAAGGACTTAGAACTATTTGAAGATAATAACCATCATGATGTGGGGAGATGTCTCAGTTGGTACAGTACAAACATGAGGACCTCAGTTTAGATACCCAGAACTCATGCAAAAGCTGGGAGTGGCTGTGTGTCTGTAATCTCAACTCCACCGGGGCGGTGGAGACAGGAGGATCCCTGGGGCTCGAGAGAGAGAGAGACCCTGCTGGGGAAACAAAGGTGGAGAGTGACTGAGAGTGCAGTCTGTACATACCCACATCCATACACACACAAATCAGGATAACCCCAACGTATGTTGTACGTGCTCACACATGTTAGTTTTCACAAATGACCATGAGGCAGGTAGAGAAAACAGCACCCCTTTTTTACACCCGGGAGTACAAGAGGGTAGAGCAAATGGCCAGGGTCCCACAGCTGGTAAAGACTAGTGCTAATATTTAGACCTGCTTTGTGCTCCCCACCGACTCTGCTAGGCTATTTCTCCATCACCTAAGAGGGAGCATTAGCCAGAAAGCTTACAGCCCACGTAATGGTTCTTGAGATCTACACAGCTGGTGGGCAGCCAGACAATAGGTTCTACATGAATCTCAAGGGAGGAGACCAGAACCAAAAAATGGTAATGTGATATCTTAGGCTTCTGGGGGGGCTCCACTGTCTTCATATTTTTATGTATATTCAAAATCTATCCAATGAGAATGTTGTATTTATATGAAACAAAGCTATTTATTGTTTTTTTACAATTACATCGTAATTGTATATATATATACAAATTATAAAAATATAAAATTAAAACACAATGCCAAAATTATGTGTGGACTCTAGTTTGGCATGGACAAGATGGTAACCGGGCATTGAGAAATGTGAACCGTAACCTGGTTTCACTGTCCAGCTGTCCAGTCCAGGTAAGTCCCTTCCTTTTCCCATGCCTCAGTTTCTCCATGTGAAAATAAGCCTTGACCTGGCCTTCCTTAGACAGCAACCATGGGGTGAGATGTGAGAACAGAACTGAGGCTGTGTTCCTAAATCTAAACACCGCCTTGGGAAAGGAGTGGCCACTGCAATTCCTTAGGCACCAAAGCAATCAGGACTTACCAGAGCAGAAACCGACCAGGGACCAAATATTCCTCCCTCTCCGAACACGGGCTCAAAGAAGGGCACGGCCACCAGCAGCATGGCGGAGGACATGGGAGCCTGGTAGTACAGCAGCTGCATGGAATTCACTTGCAGTTCGTGCTGCTTGGCTCCCACCCACTGAAAATCGGGAGAGAAAACACGTCAGGTACCCAGGAGAGCATCGTTCAGTCAAAGCCGAGCAGGGTCAGGCTAGGGGAAGAGGACGCACCTCATTATTCTACAAGGTTTTAAAGAGTTGGGGGATATGGATGACCATGAGCACCTCAGATAAAGTTGCTCTATGAACATGGCATGTGCTGATCTCCTGACTTCCTGATGCCTTAGACAGGAAAGCAGCGCCCCTCTACTCTCATGGATTCTACTAAACAGCGGGAGTAAACCACCCAGGAGCCCCCATGCATCAGGACACAGAAAAAAAACGTGGAGGGAATAACAAATTAGGTGAGAAGTGTGGCTACAAACGCAATGTCAGGTCTGCTTTCCTCATAAAAACAGAAGGAAAAACGGAGAAAAACCATCGTGGCTGGACTGGATTACCACTGGCCAATGCACGAGACTCTCTCTTATTCTAAGTGGACTCCCATCTGTGGCCTTAAAGGTACGTGGACTTCAGAGACACTTTAAAACCCAACGGGGGGGGGGGGGGGTGGGCTGGAGAGATGGCTCGGCGGTTAAGAGCACAGGCTGCTCTTTCAGAGGTCCTGAGTTCAATTCCCAGCACCCACATGGTGGCTCACAACCATCTCTAGGGGGATCTGATGCCCCCCTTCTGGTGTAAATGCATACAGGCAATTAGAGCACTCATCCATAAAATAAATAAATAAAAGATCTTAGAAAAACCTATAACCAAAACAAACAAACAAATAAATAAAAATAAAACCCAATCAGTGGCTGAAAGACGTTTTCCTCTCCAGAGAACTTTTCTGTGGATCGGACTTGCCACATACCACCTGGGCGCCACGGAGTAAACAGAACCCCTACAATGCTGTTCCATTCAGTAAAAACCTCAGAACCTCACATCCCATGTCCTCAAAATACTTCACAAACATGACTACAGAGAGGCTCTGAAGAGAAGTCGGCAGTGTGAGGTAGGCCTGGCAGACACAGCCTGGCTTTTGAACCACCTCTGCAGACCGGTTTCCTAAGCCTAGCTATTCTGTGACGTAAAGCAGCTCTACAGGGATTTAGCAAGGCCGAGATGGAGACACAGGGCATTGGCAGCACACTCCCGCCAGCTTTCACGAGTCGTCTCCTGAGACTATAAAGGACAAAGAACTGATTCTTCCCCAGCCCGCTTATAGGAGCAAGGTCCTGCGGGCAGAACATGGGGCCCCCGTGCATGCTGGGTAAGCACCCTATCATTGACCTCCAACCCCATTCCCACACCCTGAGTATCTGTAACTTCTCTTCCTGGTCATTTTCACTTAGTCTGCAGGGCCGTGTTTTGTTGTTACTGGTGTGTGTTTGTTTGTTTGTTTGAGAGAGGGTTTCTGTGTAGCCTTGGCTGTCCTGGTCTGAACTTGTTCTGTAAACCAGGCTGGCTTCAAACTCATGGAGATACGCTTGCCTTGAGTGCTGGGATTAAAGGCATGCATCACCACCACCTGGCTCTGCAGGGCCATGTTTGAGACCAAGCTCCTCCTGTCTATAAACGAAGCTCTCTTGTGCTGTGTCCACACCTAATGCTAATTCTCTCCCCTAGAGACCCAGACGCTCCTGGCTCCCAGTCAGTCAGGGTCTACTAATTCTTCCTCCCATTGGGCCTCACTGTCCTATGTCCACACCCCTGCCCTAGCCCAGGTTCTTCACACTTTCCTTCCTTTCTCCTGTCCCCTCCATTGTCACTAGAGTCGTTTTTCTTAAATACAAGGCTGGGCAAAGCCTCTTCCCAATTCTTCACCGGCATCTGCAGAATAAAGACATTTCCTGAGTGACAGCAAGACTTTGCCATCCGGTACTAGCCACTCAGCATCACCCTCCCACAACAGACCTATGGTCTAGCCTCACTAAACACAGCAAGCTCTCCCCACATGCTCTGTGCTTTGACACATATCAAAGGACGCGCCTCAATACTTCAGCGGCAAGCAAACGTCTGCGCCTCCAACTTAAATTAAGTTTCCCTCTGGTCCAGCCTGGCCATTCCGGGTGCACAGCCGCCACTTCTGCCTCGGTGCTGCTGCCCAGGACTTTCCTCGGCGTGGAGGGACACTCCTGACCTGGCTATGGAATGCCGAGTCTCATATGTGTCTGGAAGGGTAGGGGGACCTTTCCTCATCCTGTCCTCAGGGTGAACATACAGGAAATGTCTGTCATACAAACAAGTCCCCCATTTCCCCAGCTAAGGGCTGAAGACGCTTCTTCCAACTTCTCTTAATGTTCCCAGCAGCAGCAGAACAAATAACTTAGAAGCCAAATAGGATACAAGAGGCAGCTATATGAAATATATAGAACATACAAATTCATAGAGACAGAAAGATTAGACGTTATCTCAAGATGGAGAAGGAAGGAATACAGAGCAATGATTTCCTAAGGACAGAGTTTCTGTTTTGTGCGATGAAAAAGCCCCACAAACGGACAGTAGAATCAGGACATAATATCATGAATGTAATAAATCAATGCAATTAATGAATATCATAAATATAGTTATTGAATGAATACTGTGAATGTAATCAATGAATACCACAAATGTAATTAATAGCATGAGTGTAATTTTAAAAAAAAGAGGCAGATATAATTTTGTTTAAAAGGAATCTGGGTGTGTATGTGTGTGTGGGGGGAAATCTACCTATTCTGGCACAGTACTTTTGCTGTTTATTGGGCCAGAACCTTTGCCCACTGTTCTTCAGTCATTCCTTGATCAACCTCTTTCCAACCTCAGGGATACAGAACCTTTTGATTCTGATCTACAGCAAGCTTGAAACTTTCGAGGACAAAAACAGCCACCCAAAAAAGGTGAGTGTTGTGAACTGAAATTAAGTATAAGGAGTAAAAGAATCTCTAATATTTAACAAGTAGACCAGGTGTGGTAACACATTCTTTCTCAAAAAGTAAAAGGAGCCGGGCGGTGGTGGCGCACGCCTTTAATCTCAGCACTCGGGAGGCAGAGCCAGGCGGATCTCTGTGAGTTCGGGGCCAGCCTGGGCTACAGAGTGAGTTCCAGGAAAGGCGCAAAGCTACACAGAGAAACCCTGTCTCAAAAGACCAAAAAAAAAAAAAAAAAAAAAAGTAAAAGGAGAGGCCAGGCACGGTGGCACATGCCTTGAATCCCAGCACCTGGAAGGCAGGCAGAGTTCTCTAAGTTCCAGGTCAGCCAGAGCAACACAGTCCTGTCTCAAAACAAAAACAAAACCACAACTGACTACAACAAAAAGTACAAAGAGGATTGATGAGATGGCTCAGTGGGTAAAGGTCCCTGCTGCCAAGCCTGACTACAAAGTTTGATCCTAGGGACCCACGTGGTAGGAGAGAACACTCCGGCCTCTAAAAGTTGCCCTCTGACCTCTATATGTACACAGTGACTGGCATGCACATATGTGTACTCGTGCATACAAACAAAATGAGTGTAAAATTAAAAAGTAAAGAGAGCTGGGGGTGTAACTGAGTGGTGGAGTGCTTGCCTAGTGTGTAAGGTCTTGAGTTCGACCCCCGGGACAACCACCACCCTAGAAGTCTTAGAAACAGTAGTAGGTAGTTGGTGAAGTTGTTAGCGGGCTGGGTGATCTTTAGCTCAGTGTACAGTGCTTGCTTAGAATGCAAGGTGGTCGTGGGTCCAATCCTCAGTGCCCGCCCCCGAGGATAGTATTTTCTGTAACACTGTTTCTGGGGCAATCACTACCATCAAAGAGTTATTTTCCCAGGGAGCAAGACAACCTAGGTGCTAGGGTGTAGTACTGAACAAACATTCCTAACCAGAATGCCTTCCTTTATCACCCGTGGATACTTGTGACAGAGGTAACACTGGTTACATTTTGGCGTAGAATCCCCATGCAGACACACCCAGAATTTCCAGACCAAGGTTTTCAGTATAGAGAGAATACTGTTTCACTGTTTCCTACCCCTGTTATTTCTCCCCACTATACAGGATACAAAAACCAGCTTGTTGGGAATTTATGGTAATGAAGGGAATTCATGAAAAAAAAATCCATGAAAAAAAACTGAATCCTGGCTACAGGAAAGGGACTGTGTTTGTACAAGAAGTTAAAAACCTAGAAACAACTCTATCTACCTAGACAAATTATTAAAAGCCAATAAGAGTACTAACACCATCACTTCTTTTAAGTTTAAAATATTTACATCTGATTTTTTTTATGTTCAAATGTTTGGAAGTATATGAATGTCTTAAGAACAGCTTTAAACTTACAGAGCAAATGACAAATATAATCAACAAACTTATGAAGCAAAGCCTTATTACTCATTTTCTAAAGACTTCCCAGGAAAAAAAAAACCCAAAACAAATTTGTCCCAAACTCTGATGCTTAAGCATGGGTATTGGGCACTTACAAACGGGCATATGGTGAACATCACACACCCAAGTTTCTCTGTCTCCTCTTCACCAGGAGTTAGATAATTTATCAATTATGCTTTCTTTCCAACAGTTTATTGTCTCTATACTGTATTTTCTAGACCTTGTGATACAGCTTCAAAATTTACGAAATCTGCTAAAAAGGCACATAAAGAAAAAAAAATTACCAACCACTTGATAAAGGGATGTGACTAACACACCAAGGGCAGCGAACACCATTCCAAGGGAATGAAACTTCACATCGTAGTAAGAATTTAGGATGACACCTACAGTTATAGGGATCTGTGAAGAGAAAGAGGCAAATGCTGTTGAGATTAAATTCAAGAACAGTGTCGTACAAAATTAATCAAAAGCATCACCAGGGAGCACTGAACTGGATGTTTTCTTCATTTGGGAAAACTGCCAATCCTACGTAAAATAGTGTGACTCTGCAGACATCCACATACAACTTACATCTGGGGGGAAATAATGAGTCCATGCATTGTGCTTTTTTTTTTTTTTTTTTTTTTTTTTTTTGGTTTTTCGAGACAGGGTTTCTCTGTGTAGCTTTGCGCCTTTCCTGGATCTCGCGCTGTAGACCAGGCTGGCCTCGAACTCACAGAGATCCACCTGCCTCTGCCTCCCGAGTGCTGCGATTAAAGGCGTGCGCCACCACCGCCCGGCGCATTGTGCTTTTAAAGGAAATATGATACGCATTTCCAGGTAAGTAAATGGACCTCCAAACCAGTACTTAACACATGCACATACACGTGTAAGAAAAGCATTAGGACCTGAAATACTAAGAACCACTAAGTGCTAACGCTATTTTAATGACTCTTTTATTTAAAGATACAGACACCCCAGCAGTATGCCGCTGAAGGCATATCCTGAGATATTTTATGCTAAACCATTTCATGGTTATCATACGTGGTTCGATTCCCCGGGGGTAGGAGGACTTTTTCCCCCCCTTTCCATGTTAAGCTTTCGCAGATATTCTGACACTTGGAACTGTACCATCTAAGGCAGCTTTCCCCGCTCACCAATCACAGCATTTAAAGATTTCCATCACATGGTAGTTCTAAAACCCACAGGAACACACCCTTTTACTAAGAGCCAGCGGAGTGCCAAATGGCTTTTTCCACCCGTCTCCAAAATAAGCCAGACGGTCACTAAATTATAGACTCGTGTGTGGAGTCAGGATGATGGGGACAAGGCCTCGGGGTGCCAGGCTATAAGCAAGGTGCATTCAATTTTCCCGGGGAGCAAGACAACCAGGTAGGTGGCCCGGGACGCGTTCGCACACGCAGCAGCAGCTGCAGCTACTCACCAGCGTGAGCTGTATTCTGACGGAGAAGCTCTTTTGGTACCAGAAGGTCTGGATGGCTATGATCACCGGCGTGGTCATGGCCTTGGCCAGCTGATAGGTGCCTATGGTGTTGTTCTGTAGAGAGAGGTTGGTGAAGACCACAAAGCCACAGAAGCTGAGGGCCAGGAGGAGGAGCTTGGAGAGCGGCAGACTTTTGGGGGCAAAGATGTCCAGTTTCTGGCAGATGTATAAGCCCAGCCAGGTGACCACGAAGTGCACCAGGGTCAGGCTCATATTGGGGAAGCCGTGGTGTACGTAGATCCATTTGTTGAGGAACACGATGCAGATGGACACCAGCAAGTTGAACAGGAGCCCCGCGGCGATGCGCCCGTTGCCCCGGACCCGGTCGGCCAGCGATGCCATGATGCCCGCCGGCGGCGCCGGAGCAGCAGCACCCTCGGCCAAACCCGGGCTGTCCAGCGTCCCCGCGGGGCGCCCGGCCGCTCTCCGGCTGCCCGGGCCCTCCACCGCCGCGTGCCGCAGCCGCCCGCCCGCCTCACGGCCCGGCCGGAGACAGGCATGCGCCAGCCAGGTCCCGGGCCGCCGCCCTCGGAGCGGGGACGCCGCCGCCGCTGCTCCTCCCGGCCCCGCCCCTCCCCGCGCGGCCACGTGATCCTGCTCGCACTTCCGCCGCGCAGGCGCGCTGGGCGCCGAACGCTGCCCGCCCGGTTGCCTAAGTCAGCCCGGAGGAGCCCTTGGCCTCTCCGGGGTGCAGGGGGTGGTTAATATCTGTGGCAGGTCACCCGACTTCCCCGACGACGTCTCTCGAGCTTGGAGACCCGGCGGCGCAGAGTCCCCGCCAAGGTTACACTCCACGGGTGCTGAACAATTTTAATCCTTTGCAGAGGGGAAAGCATTACTCTGCATACTTTTAATTATCTTTAGAAGTCTAAACATAGGGGAAGAGTGGATTGGAGTAAGTATAGCCGTCATATACTGAGAATGTAGATTTGAAAATATTTTGGCGTATTTGCCTCGAAAAATTTTAAACCACAGATACTACAAATTCTTTGTAAACCTAAGAAGCAAGTACATTTTCCTGTATGACCAAGATATTATTTGCACTCTTAAGAGGCTTATTATAGTAGCAAATATGAAGTCTGACTTCAAAGTTTTGGAGTTGGAGAGGACTTTCAAGTTTTGTGTGTATTATTATTTGGAAATAAAAATTTATATTCACTGTTTTTTCTTTTCTTTTTCTCAACTTTTATTGATTCTTTGTGAATTTCACATCATGCATTCTGATCCCTTTGGTCTGGGATAAAGTCAGAATCAAAGTTCCATTATTACCCACATGCATACTCAGTTCTGCTACAGTTTTTGAACACCATGTAAACCTTTTATCTTGACCAAAAATGTAAAGGGAAGTTGAAAGATTAGAATGATGAACACTCCTCTGCCATTTAGACTGTTCCTATTTTACCATGTTGCTTTAACTGTGAGCCACCATGTGGTTGCTGGGAATTGAACTCAGGTCCTCTGGAAGAATAGTCAATACTCTTAACTGCTGAGCCATCTCTCCAGCCCGTATTAACTGTGTAGACGTTAATTTTAAAGCTAAACTATCTCAATATAAAGTGCAGATTTTATGACTTTCAACCCTAAATATTTCAGTGTGCATCTCCTAAGGATGAGGGCAGGCACTTCCCTATACTGCCACAACTCCAATGATCACACCTAAGAAAACTAGTATTTGTTCAACAATACTACTCATTACATAACCTCTTTTCTAGAATAAGAGAAGATTTATTTCTAATCATGTATATGTGTGTGGGTATGTGCACGTAAGTGCAGGTGCTCTTGCCAGAGGGGTCAGATCATCTGAAGATGGAGCTCTACCTGATTGTGTTTTCTGCCCATGTGGGTCTAGGCTAATTTTTATTTTTATGTGGATGTTTTGCTTGAATGTATCTCTGTTCATCTTGTGTGTGCCTGGTGCCCACAGATGCCAAAAGAGGGTATTAGATCTTCTGGAACTGGAATTACAGACGGTTGTGGGCCACCATATGTATGCTGGGAAATAAATCCTGGTCCTCTGTTAGAGCAGCCAGTGCTGAGCCATCTCTCCAGCTCCATTTTAAAATATTCTTGCTAGATTCATCTTAACTTTACTATTCAGAAAAACACTAAATTTTATGATGAGAAATTACTTACCTGGCTTGAAAATTAAGCTATTCTTTATTCTCCATTTTCTTTACATTTTAATATGTCAGGGATTTATGATTACAGAAATAAATAATAAAATATTTATTCTATTACATAAGAGAAAACGAGTATTTATAGAACAAAACATTTATTTTGTATAATTTCAATAAAAAATACTTAAAGAAATACTGATATAATACAAAATTCAAATGCCTAAATTTTACATTTTCCCCCAGAATGCCAAAGGAAAAAACCCAATAATTACAAATATGTATATTTGATCGCAACCAAGCAACCCTCATGCCATGGGCATCAGAGAGTGGATGAGTTATGACTGAACTTCATATCCGAGTGGGTCAAGCCCCTGGTCTAGAAGCATCAGAGAGGATTCCCTTAACTTCTGCAGAAGTTTCCTTAGTTCTTCCTTAGAAAATACCTGACATTAAAAAATAAAAATTAAAATGCAAGAACTAAAAAAAATGTAAACAAGTATTCACAAATACCATCATGCAAGCATATCAAATTGGTAAAACTTCAACCTGCCAATGGCCTAGAACTCACCAGGTACAGTTTGTGGCGCTCGGAGGACACCATGTCGGCCAGCTGCAGGCACTCCTGATACTGGCCGGTGCTGTGCAGTATGGTGTGAAGCAGGAAGCACAGCATGGGCAGACAGAGCTTTCTTAGCAAGACCATCTGATGGGCTCTTTCAGGGTCTTCCTCAGCATCCTACGGACAGACATCGGTCATCACGTCAACAACTTTAAGCGACATACCCTTACAAACAGAAGAGTCAACAACAGCAAGGTATGGTGGCTCACACCTGCCACCCCAAACTCCAGCACTTAGGATGCCAAGGCAGGAGGGGAAGTGCACGTTCAGGGCAAGCCTGATCTGTATAGTGTGCTAGGCTGCTATGGAGACCCTGTGTCAAAATATAAAACACCACCACCTCCAAAACCAAAAAGTAAGTCACGTTAGGAACCTATAGATTTAACAACAATAAATGGAAAATACTTCAGGGGAAAGTTGCATCTCTACTAATATGTACACTTCCTGTTCTTGTTTTCATTTGCTAAGCAGTACAGTATCACAGCTGTTTATACAGCATTTATACTAAATGAGTATAGGTGATCTGAAGAATATTTACAGACCAGGAGGGGGTGTGAGGGTTACATGAAATTATCATGCATGCCACTTTATATAATGAAAGGGAGCAATCTTGTATCTACCAGGTCCTAGAATCAATACTCCAGGCATGTTGAGGGTTGACTACTGAGTCAAAACCAGGACAGAAAAACACTAAATTTCTTTTTCTAAAGCTTATTATTCCTATTTAAAAAAAAAAGTGTGTGTACATGTTTGTATGTGTGTGAGTACACGTGTGTATGGGTGCAGGCATGAGTGTGTGCCCAAATACTGAGGCCAGAGAACAACCTTGGGCATCATCCCCAGGAACACCATCTCCTCTAAGACAGGGTCTTTCCTTGGTATGGAGCTCACCACTAGGCTAGACTGCTTGGCTAGTGAGAGCCAGGGCTCCTCCTATCTTTCCCTCCTCAGTGCCAGGATTATAAGGCTAGCTTCTGGGGATCAAACACAGGACTGAGTCATTGAACGAGCCCTCATCAAGCTAGCTTCAATCATAATATTATCTAGTCTATCAAACTTGATTTGGATTTTTTTTTTTTTGAAAAAGGACTTTATGGCCAAAGCCATGAAGATGAACTTTTAAAATATACTAGAGGAGATGGTATGGAAATAAGATGCTGCTGAGTGTGTTTCTAATGCATCTAGACTAACAACTCACAAAAAAGCATCAGATTGAACAACATAAGAGTAAAAGACAGACAGAAAATAATTACTGTTTATTTCTCTCAACCCATGCAGATGTATCTAAGACCTGAGAGGACATACCAACCTGACCGCCAGGCCAGTAAGGAAGGGTCAAAATGGTAAGAGGGGCAGAGGAAGGACTTGAAGCTTCTAGGAGAATGAATATTTCTTTGTATAGTTAAAAAAAAAAAAAAGGGTGGGTGGGTGGTGGTGGTGCACACCTTTAATCCCAGCACTTGGAAACACAGGCAGGCGAATCTCTGTGAGTTCCAGGACAGCCAGGGCTACAGAGAAACTTGTCTCAAAACAAAGGAGACAGAAAGAGAGAGAGAGAGAGAGAGAGAGAGAGAGAGACAGAGACAGAGACAGAGAGAGACAGAGAGAGAGAGAGAGAGAGAGAGAGAGAGAAGATCTGAAGACACCTTGCTATAGCAAAGAAGTGTCTCCAAATATGAATGGAATCTTTTTAAAGAATTATCTGGACAGTAAAATACAGAAAAAACAGCCTTTCTATTCCTGCTACATTTTCTTATCACAAATGGGAAAACTAAACTCATTAAAATAATTTTTAAAAGGTACCCAAACACACTAAAATTCCTGAAATAATCCTTAAAACAAGATGTCTCAGAGGAGGAGAAGACACAGTGCTGTTGGAGAGGACTCATGATGGGCGGCTCACAGCACTCCAGCTCCGGGAGAGTCAAGCCCTCCACCGGCTTGCAGAGACAACTGCCCTCAAATGGGCACAGCACCATAGAGACAGAAACACACACACAGAAATTTAAATGAAAACCTTTTTTCTTTTTAAAGGAAGCACTGGCGTTAACTCAGGGATAGAGCACTTGCCCTGAGTTTAACCCTCAGCAGCGCAGGAGTAAAGCAAGGGGATCCACAGAACGTAGGATGCTAACAGTAACAGAACAGCAGTGGCCCACAAATCCAATCAACAAATTTAGGGCGGGTGCACGGTGACGGCTGAAATGGCGGCACCCCGGAGGCAGAGGGAGGCAAGAAGACCGTGACAGCAAGACCTGACTGGGCCGCACAGAGGCCCAGTGTGTGTTTGGGGGGACTCCCTTCTTGTGTAAGGCTACTAAACTACACTATGGAACATTTCTCAAGGGCAGATACTGCAGTAATGAAGCAACACAAAGGATGTGGTGGTCCACCACTAACAGACAACCCAGGCTGGGTTTCCACAGAATCACGGCCTGCCAACCCTTTAATATTGTTGCGAGGTACAGATACATAAAACCAAGTATTAAAATGTATACCTCATATACTTCTTAGCTTTAAAATGGAAGCACTTCTACTTTCTCAAGATAAGGTGTGGCTATCTCTAGATAGACTTAAAATATAATCTCAGCACCTTGAGACTTTGTTCAGCTTGGGGATTCCAAATGGAGACCCGAAGATTGATTGGCCCACTGTTTCCCGGGCCTTCCCCTGTGTGGGTTAACACAGTCTTTCCCCCTGCACAGTGCCTCTGGCTCCTAGACTCTTACTTACTGCCTCTAAGCAGCTAGCATGTAGGGATGTGCTGGTATATAAGGACAGCTGGCCACGCAGGCAGAGCAGCTGAAACCTGAGCTGTGCTCCAGTCTACAGGTCATGTGCACAGGACATGGAATCGACCTGTGTAAGGGAAGGGTGCAATTTCTAATTCATAGGTTAAGTAACATGGGCCAGCAGGCGTCCTACCAATTTCCTATTCTTAAATATCTAAGTACACTAAACTCAGGATATTTAATACTCGATTATCTGAAGGTTACAGCAAACTCTTCTGGATTAGTTCTGAGGAAGTGAAGACTGGGTAATTTTTTTTCATTTTTATATATTTTTAAAAATGGATTTTAATAATTTATTTTTATTTTATGTGTACTGGTGTTTTTGCCTGCATGTATGTCTGTGTATGTCTGTCAGATCCCGTGGAGCTAGAGTTACAGACAGTTGTGAGCTGCCATGTGGGCGCTGGGAATCAAACCCTGGTCCTCTGGAAGAGCAGTCAGTGCTCTCAACCACTGAACAGCACATTCATTTATATTTTTAAAGAGGGGTGTGTGTGTGTGTGTGTGTGTGTGTGTGTGTGTCTCATGTGTGTGGTTGCCCGAGGAGACCACAAAAGGGTGTCAGATCCCCTGGTTCTGGGTTAGAGGGGTTGAGCCTCCTGACAGGAGCGCTGAGGGCCAGGCTTGGTCTTCTGCAAGGACAGTGCCCTTAACTGCTGAACCACCTCAGTACTTGTAAAATACTTCATCATTTGTTGCTTTCCATCTCTCAACAGATTCCAGACTACTTTATGGCTTTAATTATCTAATCTAAATTAACAATTAATCAAAATTATACATCAATATTCTCTTCAAGTTTTGGTATTGCCCAACATTTGGATCTTACTTCTACACAAGCCTGAGTCAGAAGAGAAAGGTTTGGCCTAAGGAACCCACTGAACATTGAAAATTATGCTGTGGAGTTTTATTATGAACTTTAGGATTAAGAAGTACTCTGAGGGCTGAGGATTCAGTGATACCGTGCATGCCTAGCATGTGTGAGCCTAGGTTCAATCCTTCATACCACGAACAAACAAACAAAAAGTCAGAAGTGGACCCTAAAAATCTTGTTATCAGTAGCAGCATCAATCAGAGGCCCGAATCTAGCCTCGTTCTTGTCAGAAAAGAGAAGCTAGAGAGGTAGGAAAATGTAGCAACTAAGTTATTAAAGAAAAAGCATAAAAGTGCTGTGAGGGGAGCAGAGGAAGACACCAGTGCACACGCCCCGCAGAAACTGAGGAATGTCCAAAACGACACACTAATTATCCAGGGCGCAGGACTCCTGGCTCTCTTTAGGATCTGTCTGCAGATGCAAAGCTGAGTTACCATTCTGTCACGTCTCAGGATCAGGCCTGGCTGAGGTCTGAGTGTGAAATGTCCCCCAACAGGTTCCATGTGTTTGAGCACTGGGTCCCTGGAGGGTGGAGCTGTTTAGGGATGTTCTGGAAGCTTTAGGGAGGAGGGTAACAGGGTGGGTGAGAGCTTGAGGTTTTACAGCCTGACCACACTTCCTCCTTCCTAACAGCAGACAAACCAGCTGCCTCTCTCCTGCTGCCAAAGGCTGTACCCCTCCAAACTGCAAACCCAAACAACCATCCTCTGCTGAGCTGTTTCTTACTAGGCATTTGGTCACACATGAGGAATGTGACGAAATACCATGAGTGCAAACGTTAGAAGGGGAAATATTTACGTGTCCCTGAAAAGAAAAAGGTGGGAGTGCATGTATCTGCAGATGTCCTGAGGTCTAAAAGAACATGCCACCCTGACAGTAATGAACAGCAAGCAAGGAGGCTCAGCCGGGAGGGGGGTAAGAAAGGAGAGGAGATGGAGCATTTTCTTACACAATTAAAACCATGGAAAACTATAAATAGACGAGGATATGCGGATGGCAGAAGTCGTTTCTCTCCACCATTTGAACCCTGGGGATTGAACTCACGTCACCAGGCCTGGTGGCAAGTGCCTTTGCTGGCTGAGCCCCATCACCGTTTGTTAATATTGATTATTTTTAAAGCTTTACAAAACACATGACTTACCTCTCTGACATCTACCATCCATCCTCCATCAACAAACAACAAGACGTTGTACATTTTCTCCTTCACATCAGCAGTTAGGGCATCTAAATGTCCTTTCCAGATATTATAATCCATCTGCAGGGCAAACAGAGCAGCTATAATGGACTGAGCAACATTCTTCTCATTCATTCATTCATTCATTCATTCATTCATTCATTCACTTTTTTGATTTTTCTGAGACAGGGCTTCTCTGTGTAGCCCTGGCTGTCCTGGCTCTCGCTCTATAGACCAGGCTGGCCTCAAACTCACAGAGATCCACCTGCCTCCCAAGTGCTGGGATTAAAGGTATGCACTGCCACCACCCAGCGACAAGAACAGCCTTAAGAGTTGATAATTCAGACATGTATATAAAGAAAAACTATTAATAGCAGATAGATAAAATACTAAAATATTAATTTAGTAAATGAATACTACTGTCTAAAGCCTGCTTGCCTTCCTTCCTTCCTTTCTTCTTATTTTGTTTTTCTGAGACAGAATTTCACTATGTGTAGCTCTGGCTGGCCTGGAATTCAGTATATAAACCAGGCTGGCCTTGAACTCACAGAGAACTGCCTGACACCAAGTCCTGGGAGTAAATGTGTGTGCCATCATGCCTAGCAGCAAGTCTCAAGATTAATCACCTATGCAAAAGTAAACATGATTCAAGGCAAAGGTGTAACAGGAAAATCCCATTCGAATCAGAACATACATGGTAAAGGCCCCTCTAAGTACCGTATTTTTAGGATCAGAGGCTCATCTCAGCCTCACTTTCCTTAACTTACCTCGTATTTCTTTTCTTTGTGTTCAAAAGCCACTTTCTCTGTAAAAGTTGGCTGAGGTATCAACGTAGGTTTTTGTGGAGCCGAATTCATGTGCTTAAACCACTCATTGAATGTTTCATGGGCTTCCTAAAATGCCAAGTGAGACAAATGAAATACACATTTTTACATCTCGGTCTTTGTGAGACAGGGTCTTATTCTCTAGACCAGGTTAGTCTGGAACTCACTATACAGCTCAGAATGGCCTCAGATGCATGACAATCCTCCTGCCTCAGTTTCACTTTTTTTTTTTTTTTTTTTTTTTGGTTTTCCGAGACAGGGTTTCTCTGTGTAGCTTTGCGCCTTTCCTGGAACTCACTTTGGAGACCAGGCTGGCCTCGAACTCACAGAGATCCGCCTGGCTCTGCCTCCCGAGTGCTGGGATTAAAGGCGTGCGCCACCACCGCCCGGCTCAGTTTCACTTTTATTGCTCAAAAGGCGTTTAAAAGTTCGAGTTCTTAGAAACAACTCTGAGTCAAAGCTCATGAGTGAGCAAACGTTCCATGGAGTGAGAAACACCGCCAAGGCGTCTGGCGTTGTCTGGCAGCTCCTCTTAGCCCAGCCCCTCGCGCAGGTGTGCCCTGTCACAGGCACTCTATGAGGGAGGCGTGCGAACTTATCTTCTTGATCAGCCAACTGGCTTTTTCAGTCAACGACAGAACTCTGTATTCAAACTTAGCCCCACTCTGTGTCCACAGCAATCACTTGTTCACTGAATAAACCTTGACCGAGGAAGCTGTTAATTTACTCTCATACACATGGAACGCTTCGCCTCTTTTTAAGTCACTGCCAAGAGCAGCAGCACAAGGCACACACACACACACACACACACACACACACACACACACACACACACAATTGGAAAGTTGCAGGCATGGCACGTTGTCTATTCCTGCCTAGTCAGCAACGGACAGATGCATGCCGATGACAGGTCATGACATCAACCCTGGAGTAAGTCAGCACTGCGTCACAGGGGACCTGAGGTGAAACCATCACCACTTTTGGAAAAAGTTCAGAGAGATGGTTCAGTGGTTAAGAGCATTTGCTGCTCTTCCAGAGGACTCAGTTCCCAGCACCCATATCAGGCAGCTCAGGGATTCAGATGCCTCTGGCCTCCACAGGCACCTGTATTCACATGCACATACCCACCTGCAGACGTACACACCTACACATAATTAAAAAGTATACACAGTTCAAGTTCTAAGAGTGGCCCGGGAACACCACAAGACTGCAGCTCTCGGTCTCACCAGATAGGCTCTGATGCACAGATGCTCCCGGATGGCGTTGTCATCCTCAGCAGGAAGCGGGCTCTCCATGCCTTGCTCCTCCCACTGGTTATAGATTTCTGCGATGGAATCCTGAGGGATTTTCACAAACACTTCTTTTGCAGCTTCATGTTTCTTTGATGCTGTGGGAAAAAAAATTCAAAATATATGGACTTCTATGTACTGCTGATCAGACTGGCCTTGAACTTAAGAGATCTGCCTGCCTCTGCCCCCTGAATGCTGGCATTGAAGGCAAGTATCACTATACCTAGTCTGTGTACTGGCGTTTTACAGTATCAAATCACTGATTACAAGTTTTATATTTCAGTTCCCATACTTCTCCAAAGGTCTTGGGGAATCTCTCTAGTGGGCTGGCTCTTTCCCAGTGGAAGGTAACACAAAGTTACTTTCACATACATCGATGTCTTAAAGAAATCACATTTTCCAAAGTCTGAGGCTATGACATCATATACAAAGCTGATTACTACAGTGAAAATTTACTATTAAATGGGTTTGGTTTCACAATACAAAGCCTGATAGAATAGCTGGCTCTCTCCCTTTTGGTGGGACACATGTCCTGCTATACAAGCCCTCCCAGCACTGGGGAAGTCAGTCCTCTCAAGGCCTAACGAGTGATACGGCAAAGCCAGAGTTCCGACCTAGAACATCTTTTTTTTTTTTTTTTTTTTTCGAGACAGAGTTTCTCTGTGTAGCTTTGCGCCTTTCCTGGAACTCACTTGGTAGCCCAGGCTGGCCTCGAACTCACAGAGATCCGCCTGGCTCTAGAACATCTTTTAAGAACAGCATCAGAGCAAGTTTTATTCTGCTTACGGATCTGGTCATATATCTTTGATCTGTGCAACTTAGAGTTCAAGTCTACCTGTTAATGTATGTGGGGAAGCACACAGAGCTGCAGTCTCTCAGAGAAACAAAACCAGTTATCTGTGTGAGCAAGGAAGGCTTTCTTGGCTGCAGGAACCATTTTTAAGATGAGCTTAAGCAAGGGCCTGTGATTTTCAGATGCAAACCATGTTGGAAAGTCCTAATTTCTTTTCTGTTGCAGTGATAAAACAGTCCAACCGAAGGCAACACAGGGAGAAAGGTCTACTTCAGCTCACAGTTCCAAGTTACAATCCACACGACAGCAGAAGAGTCAAGGCAGAAAAACCTCACAACAGCTGGTCATATTACATCTACAGTCAGGGGCCCAGAGGAACGAATACATGCATCATGTCCACAGTCAGGAGCGCAGAGAAACAAATGCATGCATCACATGCACAGTCAGGGGTACAGAGAAAAGAGTGCATGCATCACATGCAGAGTCAGGGGTGCAGAGAAACGAGTGCATGCATCACATCCACAGTCAGGGGTGCAGAGAAACGAGTGCATGTATCACATCCACAGTCAGGGGTGCAGAGAAACAAATGCATGCATCACATGCACAGATCAGGGGAGCAGAGAAACGAATGCATGCATCACATCCAGTCAGGGGCACAGAAAAATGCATGCATACTCCACTTGCTTGCACTCAGCTCAATTTCTCTATGCCAGTACAGTTCTGGAAGCCCTGCCTAGGGAACGGTGAACTACTTTTGAAAGGTCAACTATGTAACTGCTGGATTTCTGAAGCATTATGTTTGTCTTTTTTTAGTTCCTGTTTCTAGGTTGTCACAAAATTTGGTATCAGGATTTATAAAACAGTTCTGTTTGTAAGATGCAGTTTATTTTAGGATGTTACTAAATAAGGGATTCCTTAACGATTCATAAAGTAAATTTACTTTGAGACTGAATGACATGAGGAAACCTCTATGAAGAGTATCTAGATGGGATTCCTTGCTCAGTTGTTTGTGCTAGCACATGGCCTGATAGCTGGGGTCCAATACTATGCTCCTCTTCGTGGAACTCTCAGCCTTTTCCATGCTCATGCAGTGCAGTCCCTTGGTCAACTGTTTCTGTCTGGAGATATACTTCAAAGTTTTGCTAAAGAACTACTGACTTGAGACTGTGAAAGTGGCTCAGTGGTTGGGAGCACTGGCTGCTCCTCTAGAGGATCCAGGTTCAATACCCAGCACCAACAGCAGCTCACAATTGTCTGTATCTGCAGTTTCATGGCAACAGGCACGCATGTAGTGCACATATATATGCATGCAGGCAAAATACCCATACACCTAAAGTGGAACAAATCTTAAAAAAAAAAGAACTACTGACTTGAGAGACCAAGATAACTTGTGCTTTGTAAGAGTGAGGACCTAGCTGAGGAGATGTCTCAATAGGTAAAGGTGCTTATTGCGAAGCCCAAAGACCCGAGTTCATCACTGGGACCAACATGGTGGAAGGAGAGAAGCTGTAGGAAGACTAAGTTGTCCTTTGACCTCCAGACATGTACCATGGCACATACATACTCCCCAGCTCAAAAACAAAATCAAAAACTAAACAGATACAGCAAGAACAAGCACCTGTCACCGGTGACGGACAAGGGTCAAAGCTGTAACTTTAGTATCACGGACTGAGTATGCTAGAGACAATCAGCAAGGGCCTGTCTTTATCAGGCTACTCAGTGTTTACTTGCTTATTTATTTTCTATCACATGTATGAGTGCTCTGCCTACATGTATGTATGCGTACCATGTATGGACCTGGTACTCAGAAGGGTCAGAAGACCCCCTGGACCTGGAATTATGGATGGCTGTGAGCTGCCACATAGGTGCTGGGAATTGAACTTGTTTCCTCTAAAGAGTAGCAAGCTCTCTTAACTGTGAGCCATCTCTTCAGCCCCAGGAAACAGTTATTGGATGAATGGAAGACTATATGACTGAGTGCTATAGTCACCTCAGATGGCTTCTCAATGGGTCACTGATCACTGAGGGCGCACAGGTGGAGGCAACTGAGGGCCCAAGAGCACCCTGCTCACTGGTACTGACTTAAGCTCAAAGTCCTCACCAAGTGTCCCATTTTCCCATTTATTTCAGTTAAAAACTTACGGATCTGATGAAACAGTGTAAGAGCAGGACCCACCTAAGAACTCACAGATCTGGAAACAGTGTCAGAGCAGGACCCACCTAAGAACTCACAGATCTGGTGAAACAGTGTAAGAGCAGGACCCACCTAAGAACTCACAGATCTGGAAACAGTGTCAGAGCAGGACCCACCTAAGAACTTCCTCATGATGGCGTTGCCTTGCTTCACCGCCTCTGCCCTCTGTGCTGGGTCGAATACCAGCCAGTCAATCACATCCACCTTTATCCGGTCCTCCTAGTCATCGGAAGCAGAGAAAACCCATTTGATTTCAAAGCCATTTTACAAACGAGCAGAACTTATAATGCTCTCTAAATGGAAACTGTTTTCCCCACATTATATAAAGTTATGAAAGAAGCCAACTTCCCTCAGTTTGTTCTACTTAGCAGCGCTCTACTAAATTATTGGAGAAATCTCACTGGCCTACGAATGTGGAATTATTCACTGTATGTCTCGCCAACCTAACTCATCAGATGCAGGATGCAAGAAATAACCCCAGGGGTCACAAACGCTAGGCAAGCACTCCATCACTGAGCCACACTCCCAGCCCCATGATGATGCCCTTCTGAGACTTCATCTTTCTTCCTAAAGACAGAAGTCAGCAGCTTTTGAAACATCCGGCAAAACCTGATGAGCAAAAGGAAACACTCAGGTCTGCTCTATAGGAGAACACTTTACAGAAGATTCCTACTGTAATGTCATGGTGATTGGTTTAATAAAGATGATGATTGGCCAATAGCTTGACAGGATAAGGTTAGGTGGGAGAGCCAGACTAAGGATACTGGAAGAAGGGCGGAGTCAGAGGAGTGGCCAGCCAGATGGAGAAGCAGCAGGACATGCAGGACAGGTAAAAGCCACAAGCCTCAAGGCAGCACATGGATTAATAGAAATGAGTTAATTTAAGTTGTAACAGCTAGTTAGTAACAAGCCTGAGCTATTGACCAAGCATTTATAATTCATAGTAATTCTCTGATTATTTGGGAGTGGCTGCCAGGACAGAAAAATTCCGTTTATAACCCTTCTTGAACATAATTCATTATTTCAATAAAACCTTAAAATTGCTGCCAATTTTTGTCATTTAAAAGGCCTTGGAGCCTGGAGAGATGGCTCAGTAGTTGATTCCCAGAATCCACATGGTGACTCACAACTGTCTGTAACTCCAGTTCCAAAGGATTCAGTACCCTCTTCTGGCCTCCTTGGGCACCAGACATGTACATGAGCACAGACATACAGGCATGCAAACACCCATGCACATAAAATGAAAATAAATATATTTTTTAAAATAAAAGAAATATATTTAAAAAAATTTAGAAGGCCTTTATTAACACACAGTTTTTAAAAGACAGTCAGAAGCCATTTTAAGGAAGTATTTTAAGGAAGGAGTTCACCAAGGAACAAGAAGATAGATTATAAGTTATATGAAACTCTCATCCCCCCTCACCCAAATTACCTCAGTAGTGCCAGTATCTAGGGATGGAGCCAGGTCATGATGACTAAATTCACCATTATCTTTCTTTCGAATATTCTCAACTACAGTTTTTGTTATTGTTGCAACATCCAAATCTAAGGGATTTTTGAAAATGACAAAAACAAAAGACTAATTATTAATGTGAATATTCTCTAAACAATTATAACAATTTGGTAAATTTGGAACAATTCTTTTTCATATTTTTGGCACTGAGGATTGAACCAATGGCTTTATAGACATTGGAAAAGCATTCTGCCACTCAGTTACGCCCCCAGGCCTTAAAACAACTTCCGTAAAGATGTAATACACAGGGCCGGTGAGATGGCTCAGCAGGTAAAGGGGCTTGCCACCAAGTCTGACGACCTGAGTTCAATTCCCAGGACCCACACGGTAGGAGAGCACCAGCAGGCTGTGTTCTGATCTCCACATGAGCACCATGGAACCTGAACATGTACGCACTGCTAAAATTTTATTTTAAATACAATACATACATTATAGGAAATATCATAATTTAAAAATATTTTAGGCTGGCTGTGGTGACTATGCCTGTAATCCCAGCACTTGGTGGATGAGTCAGGGGGACTACTGAACCTGAGGCTAGCCTGGGCAAGTTCCAGGCCAACATGGGCTATATAGTGAGAATTTCTTCTCTAAAAAACAAAAGCAAAACCAGAAAATTTTTACACAAGTTAAAATTATTTTCATTCTCCCAAAGAATTTCACTCTGACTTTTACTCCTGATTTTCTCCCTCTCTCCCTCAAAAGAAATAAGACTTAATACTAAGACAAATGCCACAATGAGAATCTGCCTGAAGGCCAATCGGAGCTGGCTTACGCAGCAGAAGGCAAATCAGGGAGCTGGCTTATACAGCAGGAAAACCATAGAACCTGCCTCAAAACAGGGTGGAAGGTGGAGACCCCTATCTAAGTTGTTCTTTGACTTCATACCCACTGTGGCGTGTTCATGTCCTGGCAGGTGCACATTCCCCTTTCTCTTTCATATATACACACACACACACACACACACATACAATTTTTATGTGAATAGATATAGGGGATATGTTCAAAATACCTATAAATATTCATTTAAAAACATCATAACAAGACTCATTGTTTTATACAATATACATCTAAAATGAAGTAATAGATGGAATTCTTTTTTTTTTTTTTTTTTTTTTGGTGGTTTTTCAAAACAGGGTTTCTCTATTAGCTCTGGCTGTCCTGGAACTCACAGAAATCCACCTGCCTCTGCCTCCCTGGGTGCTGGGATTAAAGGTGTGCACTACCACTGCCCACAATAGATGAAATTCTTTTTATTTATTTGTCTGTCTGTCAATTATCTGTCTATTTATTCTAGACAGGGTTTCTCTGTGTAGCTCTGGCTGTCCTAGAACTCACTCTGTAGACCAGGCTGGCCTCAATCTCACTAAGATCCGCCTGCCTCTTCCTCCCGAGTGCTGGGATTAAAGGCATGCGCCTCCACTGCTGCCTGGCAATAGACAAAACTCTTAACTACTTTTTACCTGCTTCCTTAGCCAGCTCCAGGCACTGGTGCCGTTGCTCAAATTCTGTAACACCTTCCAGAAACAATGCATACTGGGCCACAGCAAGGTCTTGAGGCAAATGAGAGGTATAAAATGCGATGAGGTTGGTGTGCTTCTCACTTATTAAAAGCTAAAAGACACAAAAATCAAAGTAGACCAGACAAGTCAGCAGTACTTTGAAAATCCAGTTTGCTTCAAAATTTCAAATATATTTAGGAAAGACCCATAGATATGTGTTTCAGATCACAATTCTTGTAAATTCTAGGAATGTATTTAGAATAATTCAAAGATCTCTATGGAGTCCGGTGGCTTCCAGACTATATGGTATTAAAATAGTATCATTTGGGGGCTGGTGAGATGACTCTGTAGTTAAGAGCACTTGTTGCTCTTGTAGAGGACCCAGGTTTAGTTCCTAGCACCTACACAGTAGTTCACAACCATCCATTACTCCTACATCCCCTTCTGACCTCTAGCACACACACACGCACGCACGCACGCACGCACGCACGCACGCACGCACGCACTCGCTCCACACACAAACATGCAGGCAAAACACTTATATACACAAATAAAAATAAATCTTATAAAACAGTACCATTTTCATTTTTGTTTTCATTAAAATAGAAAAAAATCAAATTATAGATTCTAAAAGCTTACTTGTATGTATGTCTTTAAAACTTCAATGGAAACTTCTTCCTTCATAGAAAAAAACATAATCCAGTTATTAACATAACCATTTATAGGTATAATAATAATATAATTTCTAATAAAAATTCTACTTTTAAATGGTTTAAGAAATTTAATATTTACACTAAGTGGTACCTACCCTAGCTAAATGCTTACCAAAGATCATGTACTGCCTCATTTCACCTTAACATAACTCTTTTTTTACTTTAAAACAACAACAACAACAACAACAAACTACCTCTTTTTTGAACATGTATTTATTGTGTATGTGTGTGTACAACTTGTGGGGAGTCAATTCTCTTGTTCCATTATATGAGTTCCAGGAACTGAACAAGTCATGAGCCTTGGTGGTAACTGCTTTACCTGCTGAGACAGGTCACTGCCCTCTCACCATAACTCTTTGTGGGAAGATACTGTCCACGCTTTACAGAGGAGGAAGGAGTTCTTATAGACCTAGGGTAGATTCTGTCCACGCTTTACAGAGGAGGAAGGAGTTCTTATAGACCTAGGGTAGATACTGTCCACGCTTTACAGAGGAGGAAGGAGTTCTTATAGACCTAGGGTAGATTCTGTCCACGCTTTACAGAGGAGGAAGGAGTTCTTATAGACCTAGGGTAGATACTGTCCACGCTTTACAGAGGAGGAAGGAGTTCTTATAGACCTAGGGTAGATTCTGTCCACGCTTTACAGAGGAGGAAGGAGTTCTTATAGACCTAGGGTAGATACTGTCCACGCTTCACAGAGAGAGGAAGGAGTTCTTATAGACCTAGGGTAGATACTGTCCACGCTTTACAGAGGAGGAAGGAGTTCTTATAGACCTAGGGTAGATACTGTCCACACTTTACAGAGAGAGGAAGGAGTTCTTATAGACCTAGGGTAGATACTGTCCACGCTTTACAGAGGAGGAAGGAGTTCTTAAAGACCTAGGGTAGATACTGTCCACGCTTTACAGAGGAGGAAGGAGTTCTTATAGACCTAGGGTAGATACTGTCCACGCTTCACAGAGAGAGGAAGGAGTTCTTATAGACCTAGGGTAGATACTGTCCACGCTTTACAGAGGAGGAAGGAGTTCTTATAGACCTAGGGTAGATACTGTCCACGCTTTAGAGGAGGAAGGAGCTCTTATAGACCTAGGGTAGATACTGTCCACGCTTCACAGAGAGAGGAAGGAGTTCTTATAGACCTAGGGTAGATACTGTCCACACTTTACAGAGGAGGAAGGAGTTCTTATAGACCTAGGGTAGATACTGTCCACGCTTTACAGAGGAGGAAGGAGTTCTTAGATACCTATAGGTAGATTCTGTCCACGCTTCACAGAGGAGGAAGGAGTTCTTAGACACACAGAATCACACAGCTCGAAGTTAGCGAGTAAGGATCTAAATTCAAGACTCAACTCCAAAGCCCCAGCTTTTCAACTGCTCTATCACTATGCTGTTGTAGACACTTCACCAAAATGTTATCAAGCATTTAGAAAAATGAAAAACAGAGAGGAAAAAGAGGATTTTAATTCTCACAGATTTTATTTTGGTTCTATTAGCTTAGCTGGGTACCAACTAGGACCAAATCCTTCAATACTGGGCAAGCATCAGCATTCTATGGCCACAGACTAGAACCTAACAAGTCACTCACAATGAGTTACCAATAGGTGACCACAGGAGATGGGAGATGGTCCTGATGACAGGCGGCTAACCGCAAGCATGGAGAGCTGGAAACGCAGTCCACGGTTACTTACTTTGGTCTGTAGTCCCAGGGTGCGGAAAAACAAAATAAGGTGAGTCATAAAGCGGAGGAGGTGTCCAGGTAGATTGCTTCTGCTCTTGGAAAGCCATTTGCTAAATTCATCCATCAAACCTACGAGCCATCAAAGGTTCGACAGTGAGAACACAATCAGAGAGAAAGAAGTATCCCAAGGACACCCCAGGACACCTACAGTGTCTGAGTGTCTCACTGCCAACACCCATCACGGGACGCTCTCCACCCGAGAGACCTGGGTTCAGCCCAGACTCGGCCTTACAGTAACAAGTAAACATGGCTGCACTTGAGGCGGTGGATGTCAGTAAAAGTCTAACAGATGTGGTGAGTCATGTGTACTCCATCAAGAACAGTTATTACAAAGACAACTACCCATAAATGAAGAACTCAGGCAAAGCAAAATAAAACTGCATCTTACCATCAATGTCTCCCAGGATAAGGAATTTCTGAACTATATGATAATGTTCTTGATTCTCTTCCAGAACTCTCTGAAAAAGTTTTTACATTGCCATAAGTCTTCTGTGTTCATTTTGAAGGATGTATTCATTGCTACACTGAAAATGTCAAATTTTGATGGGACATACACGAAGCTAAAAACGAAGGGCTTTAGGAAGATCAAAAACATGGAAGGATGTTGCCTTTAGAATACATTCATGACTGAACAATATCTTCCATAAGACAATCTAATATAGGGAATCTTATTCTATTTATTATCTTTGTAAAACACCCATTTATTTATCCTGTGTGTACACGCATATGTGTATGGGCATGTGTGTCACAGTGCCACTCGAGGTCAGAGGACAACTTGTGGGAGTCCACCGTGTCCATCCACCACGCAGGTCCTAGAGGAAACTCAGTGGTCAGGTCCAGCCTGGAGTCTTTACCCGCGGGGCGACTTGTGGACCCCAAACTTACTATTTTTAACATTTTATTCTGTCTACCTTGGCATACCACAGCAAACTAGAAAGAAAGGACCCATGGGTCTCAGGCAAACTAAACTACAAGACACTCTTTCCACACAGCAGCACTCCTCAAAATCATTTTGAAGGAAGCTGCTTTCTTCTACACGTCACCGAGAGACAAACACAGCGGTGGCAGACACAGACAGTGCACTTGGTCACTGGCTGTGCTCTTTTAAAAAAGTAGGTTTTTTTTTTTTTTTTTTTTTTTTTTTGCCAAATATATTTTAATGTTTTCTTATCAGTCAATCGTCTTTTACTGTTTATTCTTTGTACATTCAAAACATTTGCTCTATCTGGCACTTAGCTCAATTACATGGCATTAGTCAAGGCTGTTTCCTTCCAGATGGAAGGCCAATTCTGCCAGGACCATTATCTTATATAATCACCCCGTTTCCTGTGAAATGGAAGGTCACACCTGACGCCTTTCAGGCGCGCATGCACGCTTGCTCTAATTTAGACCTGTGGGTCACTGATCGGCTTACCCCATGCCAACTCTACACCGCACTGCTGTGTGCTCACCGAGGGAGGAAGTGCTCCTTGCTCTTGCTGCCTTTTCAGAACGTTTTGGTCATTCTTATTTATGGTTCTACTTATAATTTTATTTTCCCCAAAAACAACCTCCCCAAATTATGAGGGTCCTATGTTAATTTTAGAATGAGTGATACTTGCATGTCTTCTCATTCAGACTTATGTTTTATCTATTTTACTCATCTTTATGTCTTCCAATAAAATTTTATTGTTTTCTTTATGAGAGTCCTGAAACCCTTGGTTAATTTCATTCCTAGCCTTTTGTTTCAGTCATTCACTTAAATGAGACTCTTTGGGAGCAGGGCACTATATCCTCTCCTAAGTAGTTATAACAAGCACAGAACGCTATGCAGTCCTCTATTGTCTAGCTACTCTGACACACTAGCCTATTGATTCTGGAACTCCTTCAGTCTGAAGTAGCCAGGCTCACATCTTGCCACATGTAACATCCTCTACCCTTGAGACACTTACTTCTATTCCTGACTTGGTTTTACCTATTCATAGACTTTCCAGAATATTTATATATTGGTCATAAACCTTGGGCAGAAGAAGCATTAATTTCCTTACTGTACAAAGTATAGGCCACCTGATAATAAAGAAAAATAAAAACCAACAGAAAATAGTTATAGGATATGAACAGGAATTTATGAACAAATAGGAGCCACAGAGACGGTTCAGCAGTTAAGAGCAATGGCTGGTCTTTCAGAGAACCTGGGTTTGATTCCCAACACCAAGATGGCAGCTAATGACTGTAACAGGAGCTCTAATGGGTCTGACGCCCTCTTCTGGCCTCCACAGGCACTGTGTGCACATGAGACGCACACACAGGGAAAACATCCATAAACATAAAATAGAAAATTAAAAAAAAAAACTTGAAGAGAAATTTACAACTAGACAGTGGGAAGCATGCTCAGCCCTGCTCCCTACATTGAATGGCTGGCAAAAATACCAAGTGTGATGTTCAGGACTGGAAAAAATGCATACTTCAATAATCATTGTGGTAGTATCCATTACTACAATCTGATACTTTCCTATTTGCATGTTTCTCCTTCGTTTAACTTCAGTTTTAACTGTGTAGCTTGAAAACACACCCTATGATATCTGTGAGTAGTTTAAGAACCTGAGACATAGCAGCTGTCCCTATGAAGAGGATATTGTATTCTCTAACCTAGTGACCCTGGCCTTAAAGAGACAGCAATGGCAGGAAGCTCACGCATCTTCACATACACAGATGTTCTCTACAGCACCAGAGTCAACCTGAGTATCCTCTGAGGAAACAGAACAAAACACAAGACCTCCCCACCAGCTCTCCAGAACATTCTATATCTGTCAAAAAGACCCGTGGAGAGGAATGACTGAGAACAAAGTATAACAACATGTACATGAAGACACTATGATAAAACCCATGATAAAACCCACCACCTTCAATGTTAACTGAAAGAAAAGACACATTCTAAATAAAGAAATTCCAGCATCTGGGAATCTGAGGCAGGAGGATTACTAGGAGTCTGGGGCCAGTCTAGGCTTAATTGTAAGTACCAGGCAGTTAGAGCTATTCAGTAAGACCATATCTCTCTTAAAACATACAAACAAAACCAAACAAAAAATAAACAAAAAACTAGAAAGCTGGCTAAAATATAGCAATTAACTTGGAGAGATTATCATTAAGTGGAAAAATCAATGTGGAGCAATGTGATCTAAAAACCCCCAACACCGTACTGCAGTGTCCACACCACTTACACTTATTGGAAACCCACGGAGAAAGCTACAGGATATATGTGTTGGTGTGGTATACTGTCTGAGGAATAAGGACAAGGGGTTGAAGAGTTTACAGGTCTCACTGGCACGTGTGAGGATTGTTTTACTATTCCAAGTACATACACATTACTTTAGTTACTAGAGAAAAAAACTAAGGGAGTGTTTTTCTTTTTGTTTTGAGACACGGTCTTACTATGTAGCCCAGCCGTTCCTCGGACTCACAGCAATGTCCTGTCTCGGCCTCCCGAGTGCTGGGATTAAAGGCGTGCGCCACCACCGCCCGGTTAATAAGTACTATTTTAAGGTCTCGTGTTTTGGTAGTAGTGAAGAAAGGATGAGAATCGAGACTTCCACATTCCCCCCTTTCAGCTACAGCGCACCACTGCATGCATTAACTTCACATGCTTCATGTAACAGGGTTACAGGAACACTTACCTTTTTATCAGTGGCTTGAAGTTCTTCAAAAACCTTTTCTAAGGTCCAACTTCAAAAGAGAAAACAACAGAAGGGACAGAAATGGTGACATGAAGAGTGATGAAGGGCTTCCGAGCCGGTGTGAGCACCCTGACCCCAAAGCCGCCACACTCACTTCGCTTCCATGTACTCTCTAGGGAGCTCTTCCGGTTCGTCCAACGTCATTACCGATGTCCGAATCTCCTGTTCTACCAGGCTGTCCACCATCACCCGGAAGTAGGCCCACACTGTGTCTTCCCAGGTGTCACAGACAGGAAGAAGCTTTTCATCCATTCCAAAACACAAACACAGTCAACAAAAAAGAAAAGGAAACCAATTATATCCACTGATAAAGACTTTAAAACCATCTTCCAATGACAGAAAACAATAGAGTTAAAAATATACACCAAATAACCCTCTTTCTCCCAAATTAGATTTTTTTTTTAAAGATTTATTTATTATGTATTTAGTGTCCTGCCTGCATGTATGCCTGCACTCCAGAAGAGGGCACCAGATCTCATTACAGATGGTTGTGAGCCGCCATGTGGTTGCTGGGAATTGAACTCAGGACCTCTGGAAGAGGAAGAGCAGCCAGTGCTCTTAACCGCTGGGCCATTTCTCCAGTCCCCAAACCAGAATTTTTAAGAAGTTTGTATGATTAAGACTTTTAATTTATGGTCACATTGACTTTGCATTTCAAACTGTGACAGCATCCCTCAGAACAGCTGTTGAGATGGGAGGGCAGTGGGGTCATGAGGAACACACATATATATGGCTTAAGTCCAAGCAGGCACTGTGCCTCGGCAGTACACTTCTAAATGGATCTCTGGGTACAGAAGTCACCAGTAAATGGGTGCTGCAATTCTTCTTTAGGAATTAAAGTCTGGCTTCATTTATTTAATCATCATGTAAGAGCCGGGGACATGCCTATAATCCCAGCACTGAGGTGGCTGAGGCAGTAGGATCATGAGTTCAAGGCCAGCCTGGTCTACAAAGCAAGACCCTGGTTTCAAAAACCCAAACAAAACTAAACAGCAAAAAAGGAAATGTGAGGCTAGAATAAGCTACACATCAAGGAAAAGAACAACAAAACAAGCCAGCACTCAAAACCCCACGCAGAAACAAACAGCCGACAACCATGTGCACGTGGGGAGCGTCACAACAAGCGGGCCGTCACTGTCCCGCTTTCTGCCGAGCTCTTCACGGTGCTTTCGGAAAGCAGTCCAAGTCTGCTTCACAGAGCTGCAGGATGTTTAGGTGTCCGGCTTACTCCACAGTGAAGGTAGACACCACGGCGCTGCGTACCTGCTTCAGATTCCCACTCAGTGAAGCGTAAATCGCCCTTTCGTATTTATTAAAAAGTTCCTGAAAGACAACGAACAGAAGGAATTGAGGTGATTACTTTTCCTAGCGGGTTAGTTTTCATCATAATTCTCTAGACTGAACCTGGTCACTTAGTTCCTAAGCTTCAGGGACAGATAAAGAAGAACAAGCAGGAAGGAAGGATTTTTTAGTTTGATAAAATAACTCCAAAATCACCAGGAAAAAAAAAAAAAATCAAACATTTAAATCTCAAATGAAAGCAAGGCCAAGTCCAGTGTGCATTTTGATTACTTAGAATAAAATGGCCGATGCCGAAGCAGTTACAGCCACCACTTTATTCCATTTTATCTTCAGGGCTCTGTCAATGGCATCTCAAGACTTCTTGTCATCAAACAAGACTGGGAGACCCCTTTCCACTCCTATCAGTACCATCACAGGCAGCCCTCAGCAGGGTGAATAGCCTGACAGGCTCCTCATCACGCCTGTGACTTGAGTCCTGTCTGGTCTGCTCTGCACAGCCACGCCACTCTTCTGTATCACATGCTCTCAGCTTTCTGACACCCCACTCAACAAGCAAATCTCAGGTCTCGCCCAAAACCAAGTGCCCGGTTTACTGTATCACTATATTTACTCACTCTTCGACAGATGTGAAACTCTGTCACCACTTTTTTTTTTTTTTTTTTTTTTGGTTTTTCGAGACAGGGTTTCTCTGTAGTTTTGCGCCTTTCCTGGAACTCACTTTGTAGACCAGGCTGGCCTCGAACTCACAGAGATCCTCCTGCCTCTGCCTCCCGAGTGCTGGGATTAAAGGCGTGCGCCACCATCGCCCGGCCTCTGTCACCACTTTCATTGCGTCTTAAAAAAAACCTTTAGTTTTCATCATTAGTGTGTGGAGAATGTGTGTATGTGTGTGTGTCACACACGCCACAGTGCATGTTTGAAGGTCGGAGGACAGCTCTGTAGAGTCAATCCTCTCCTACTTTAAGTGGGTTCCAGGTACCACACAAGGCCGTCTACAGGTGCCTTTCTCTGCTGAGCCATCTCTCCAGGGTCGCATTTTTATTCACTTTTTTTGCACCACTGATGACATTTTCAAGTATTTTCTTGTAACCCCATTCTCCCATAAACTCCGAGATTTCCTGTGCGATCCTGCATTCATTCTGTAGTGACTGTAGGAATGTGTTCATCATGTTATATCAGAACTGGTACTTCCCTTGTAAGCTTTCTATCCAGCCTCATAGGCCTCCATCCCGTTAACTTCCCATTCCTTCCTATTAAGTTTTAAAAAGTTAAATGGGGATGTCTTCTGAGAGCCTGCGTTGAGCTCAGCCCACTAGTCTTCTCTAAGTTCATGTGGTTTGTCCTTTATGCTTATGCCTCACAGCAATGTTAATTCTTACTACCCAGTGTCCGAACAATTCACTACATCACCAGGCCTATTCCTAACACGACTAAAACGTCTGCGAATACGGGACTTTAGTCATGTTATGCTGAAGGTTTCACAGCTCCTCAGTACACCTTCACTGAATTAAACCGGGTGAAAGTGAGTCTCAGTGAGTCTCCTGATCTTACATCTTCAGCCATCCTCCAGCAGCTAATCTTCCAAATCCGTCGATATGGATTCCCTTCAACAGGTTCGAGCTCTGTTCCTACAAAACAGTGAAGGAAAATTCATAACTTAAGATGAGACATTTCAACCACTTCTACAAAGAAAGGCTCCCATTCCCTCAGCCTGGCACATGGAGCTAAAGCCCCCCATACCCCACTGAGAAGGAACCCTAACACACCTCCGTTAACGTTAGGGTCATGATAGAGTTTCCAGCCTTCCAGCGTCGCAGCTCGCCATGCTTGCCCACAGCGTTTGCAGAGCCTCTGCGCCTTAGGAAACAAAAAGGACAGTGACATCACTGACACAGAACTGACAAGCACTGTGCTATTAGCAAAGCACACCCGGGGTGACAAGATGTCACAGAGGATGGTGAAGACAGTGGTCACGGCATTCCACTTTACCCACGAACCTGTAGCTGCCTGGGCTGATCCTTTCTTGTGTTGGCAAGGCTGGGGATCAAACCTAAGCCCCTTATTTATTTATTTATTTATTTATTTATTTATTTATTTATTTATTTATTTATTTATTTATTCCTTTCTTTCTTCATTTTAGGCTTGCTACGAAGGTACTATGGCACTTGCTCACTAACATGGAATTTTACTAAAAATAAATGGATTTGATGACCTTTGATTTATGGAATACAAAATTATTATAAAAAGTCTATAAGTCAGGGGCTAGAAAGATGGCTCAGAGGTTAAGAGCACTGGTTGTTCTTCCAGAGGTCCCGAGTTCAATTCCCAGCAATCACATGGTGGCTCACAACCATTTGTAATGAGATCCAGTGCCCTCTTCTGGCCTGTGGGTGTACACACAGGCAGGATACTGCATACATAATAAATAAATAAATCTTATAAAAAAAGGTGTAAGTCGGGTAGTGGTGGCACATATCTTTAATCTCAGCACTCAGGAGGCAGAGGCAGGTGGATCTCTGAGTTGGAGGCCAGCATGGTCTACAGAGTGAGTTCCAGGACAGCCAGGGCTATACAGAGAAACCCTGTCTCCAAAAACCAAGAAAAAAAAAAATTAAATGTCTCTATAATGAGAAGAGAGCTATCACTCATTTAGTCATTGATGTTTCCTTCAATTCAACCTAACCAAGAGCAATGGGAGAGCCCAAGGACCTTAAGTGTGTGAGGAGCATCACCAGTGCCGTGCTTAACAATGGCAGGAGGTCAGGAGGCTGCCACTAGAGTCTGCAGTGCAGTGGGGGAGGGCAAGGCTGGGCCTGGGAAGGATTCGCTGAGAGGTCCGGAACCAGGGTGAACTGCTCTCTGTGCTTTATCCGGAAATGGCCCACGGGGCAGAGACAGCACACTGGATGGGATCCCGGCACAGAGGAAGCACAGCCATGTGCTTTATCCGGAAATGGCCCACAGGGCAGAGACAGACACTGGATGGGATCACGGCTTGGCTCTTCCAACTCTGGGTCTACGGCACGTGGACCTGAGCAAGCAGGAAATCCCATCACTTACCTCTTCTGTCATCCCAGCTCGGATTAGAGTGAAAAGGTACTTGAGTAATCTAACTTCATCTTCTCTATCCAGATCATCAAGCGGCATTTTCTGTCTAATAGGAGCATCAGGGTCCTAGAAAAAAACCACCATTAACTGTAGATATTTGGAACCTACATATATTTAAATTTTTTGTTGATTCATTTGTTCAAACCTTACTCAGTCACACATATGGTGATCAAACTCAGGGCTCTAACGCTGTGCATATAAGCTACAAAACCCTGGCCTTATATACACCTACACATTTTAAAAATCATCATGGCATGATGTATCTATATGGTATTTATGCACAGAAACAAATTCCTTTAAAATCTAGTTAATAAAGAGAATGAAGTGTCACAATAATAGGCCCATTTGTCTGCTGCCCCCACCTCATGCCGGAACAGATTTTGTTGGGCAACATGGGCATGCCTAGTGAGTGCAGAATATCACTTGCCCAGCCCGGCCCAGCCAACTCTAACACTACATTCTCTGAGCGCATTTCGTCGCTGTACTTGGAAGAGACTAGAGGATGGACAAACACAAAGGAAGAACGCAAGAGCTCCGGTCTGACTAGAAAGCATGAACTTCCTGAGAACACAGGACAAGAGATCTCACTAAGTACTCCTGTGCTCACTAAGTCCTCCTGTGCTCACTAAGTCCTCCTGTGCTCACTAAGTCCTCCTGTGCTCACTAAGTCCTCCTGTGCTCACTAAGTCCTCCTGTGCTCACTAAGTCCTCCTGTGCTCACTAAGTCCTCCTGTGCTCACTAAGTCCTCCTGTGCTCACTAAGTCCTCCTGTGCTCACTAAGTCCTCCTGTGCTCACTAAGTCCTCCTGTGCTCACTAAGTCCTCCTGTGCTCACTAAGTCCTCCTGTGCTCACTAAGTCCTCCTGTGCTCACTAAGTCCTCCTGTGCTCACTAAGTCCTCCCGTGCTCACTAAGTCCTCCTGTGCTCACTAAGTCCTCCTGTGCTCACTAAGTCCTCCTGTGCTCACTAAGTCCTCCTGTGCTCACTAAGTACTCCTCCTGTGCTCACTAAGTCCTCCTCCTGTGCTCACTAAGTACTCCTGTGCTCACTAAGTACTCCTGTGCTCACTAAGTACTCCTGTGCTCACTAAGTACTCCTGTGCTCACTAAGTCCTCCTGTGCTCACTAAGTACTCCTGTGCTCACTAAGTATTCCTGTGCTCACTAAGTACTCCTGTGCTCACTAAGTCCTCCTGTGCTCACTAAGTCCTCCTGTGCTCACTAAGTCCTCCTCCTGTGCTCACTAAGTACTCCTGTGCTCACTAAGTACTCCTGTGCTCACTAAGTACTCCTGTGCTCACTAAGTACTCCTGTGCTCACTAAGTCCTCCTGTGCTCACTAAGTACTCCTGTGCTCACTAAGTACTCACTTGTGCTTACTAAGTACTCCTTGTGATTACTAAGTACTCCCTGTAAAGCACAAAAGGAGCTGGAGGCCTAGCTCAGTGGTAGAAGCTACCCAGCATGCACATGGGCTCAGTCCTAAGTAGTGTAAAACAAAACACAACCAAACAAATGCAATATCCACCCCTTCAAAAAAACAAAACAACAAACCCAACTACACACTAGTTACTAATAAACAAGTAAAAATATCCCAGCACACTCAGAAAAGGGGGTGGGGATTGTCTCAAGTTCAAGGCCAGCCTGAGCCACACAAAGATCCTGTCTCAAAGGAAAAAAACAAAAAAACAAAAATGGGCTGCCTGTAACTCTAGGTGACCAAATGTCCTGCCTGGTCTCTGCAGGTACCTGTACTCACAATTGCATACATCCCCACACAAATACATATATTCATAAATAAAAACAAATCTTTAAAAACAAACAAAAAAAATTCCAGAAACTTCTAAAAGGCTCATTCCGACTTAACACATTTGTGTGTTTGAACATTTAGCATTAATAGTCTTCACTGTAGCAGCAAATAGCACGCACAATCACAATGAATTTCAAACAAAATGATTTTAATGTCACTTAAGAAATGATTATCACTTATCTTCAAAGACAACTTCATTTCCAAGAACAATGACTGCCCTGGTTACTTTTATCTCCACTTCACTCACACACACACACACACACACACACACACACACACACACACACACACACACACAGAGTTATGACTGCCCTGGTTACTTTTATCTCCACTTCACACACACACACACACACACACACACACACACACACACACACACACACACACACACACACACACACACACACACACACACACAGAGTTATCTGAAAGGAGGGATCCTCAATTGAGAAACGGCCTCCCTGAGATCCAGCTGTAGGGCATTTTCTTAATTAGTGACTGACCGGGGGTGGGGGGCACTGTGGGTGCGGCCATCCCTGGGCTGTCGTCCTGGGTTCAATAAGAAAGCAGGCTGAGTGAGCCATGAAAACAAGTCAGGAAGCACCCCCTCCACGGCCTCTGCATCAGCTCCTGCCCCCCGGGTCCTGCCCCCCGGGTCCTGCCCTGTCTTGAGTTCCTGCCCCAACTTCCTTTGATGATTTGGAAGTGTAAGTCAAATAAACCCACTCTCTTTGGTCATGGTGTTCCGTGGCAGACGTGGTCACCCTAACTAGGAACTTACCAGTTCAGTGACGAGAGGCCTGACACTTCCTATATAAGACAGTAGCTGCCGCTGTTTTAAGGTGTGGAGGGTATTTTCCCTGAAAGAAGAAATAGCAGTTTTCTATAGGGCTATCAGAGTACTTTCTTTTTTCTTTTTGTAGGTAACAACACCCCACTCCCCCGCCCCAAGTACACCTGTTATGTTCAAAACAAGGGAAAAAAAGACAACAAATGTAGAAAAATGCACCAAGTCCTTAACACAGAAGGCAGTTTGAGGAATGAGGATGGTGAACTTGTTTTCATGGCTTGGTGGCCAATCATAAGCCTGCATATGAGGCATATGTTTAAGTCATTTGCCTTTTACTGTGTTATTTATGTAGTCCTGGATGACCTGGAACTCATTATGTAGACCAGCTGGCCTAGAACTGGGACTTACTTGACTCTGCCTCCTGGTTGCTGAGACTAAAGGTATGTGCCATCATGCCTACCAGTTTTTACTTCTTTTGTATATGTATATGTATATGTATATGTATATGTATATGTATATGTATATGTATATGTATATGTATATGTATATGTATATGCATATGCTTGGCCGGGCGGTGATTACACATGCCTTTAATCCCAGCACCCAGGAGGCAGAGGCAGGCGGATCTCAGTGAGTTCGAGGCCAGCCTGGTCTAGAGTGAGTGCCAAGACAGCCAGGGCTATACAGAGAAACCCTGTCTCTAAATACAAAACAAAACAAAATTTAAAAAAGCAACATTTAACAGATGCCTTGAAAAACCAAAAAAAAAAAAAAAAAAAAAAAAGCTTAGTTACTCACCAATATACTGATTTTGCATAAAACTCAATATTATCAGAAAAATCTCCAATTTCATCTTTGGCAATACTTTCTAGCCAATCTACCACCAACTAGGAAAGAAAAAAATAAAGATCATTGAACTCTAAAATCTTTATTTTTAATAGTACTTCCACCCTTAATCTGGTTTCTGATATCAAATAACGACTTTTTCCAACCACTATTTTTACTTTTCAAGATAAACAAACATCCAACAATAGTATTTCCTATAGGAATAATGCTATTTTAATAGTCTGTCCCTGGAAACACAAAGGCTATTACTTAAAAGTTGAAGAACAACTTCCCGAATTTCTTTTAATTACAAAAAAAAATCAAGAAGAGAATTAAAAGAGATAAGTTAAAAGAACAAAAGTGCAGTAGTTTGTATGTCATTTGCCTTTTCGCCATGTTACTTTCCAGAAAGAATTTACAAAGTGCAGCCACACCTGACTCTGGCGGACCAGTGAGTCCCTCTGAAACAGCGCTTCCACAACCGTCTTCTCGCTGGCGTTAATAGCCTGTGACGACAGAGAACAGTTAAAGGGAGGGAGGATGGAGGGCACAGACTTCAAACCAAAGGCAAGTCACAAATCAGTGCGTTTAACACCTGTATCTGCCCTCTGCTTTATGGGGCTTTCCTTTCGTTATTTAGACAGGGTCTCTGTGTAGACCAGGCTGGCCTGGCACTCACTCTGTAGACCAGGCTGGCCTGGCACTCACAGAGACCTGACCGCCTCTGTCTCCCAAGAGCTGTATTAAGGCATGTATCAATGCCTGACTTTATATGTATTCTTAAAAATTATTATTTTTATTTTTATTTTTTGGTTTTTGAGAAAGGGTTTCTCTGTGTAGCCCTGGCTGTCCTAGAACTCACTCTGTAGACTAGGCTGACCTCAAACTCAGAAATCCACCTGCCTCTGCCTCCTGGGTGCTGGGACTAAAGGAGTGCACTACTACCTCCTGGTTCCTTAAATATTATTTATAAATAAAATTTCAACAATACACTGTTTACTTTTTACCCGACAATTTAATTTGTTATACTTGGATTTTTAAATTCTGTCTCTGAGCTGGGACACAGCTTAGTGTCTCACGGTGCTGGCCTGACACTCGCAAGGGTGAGTCCACCCTGGCACTGCATGAGAATAACATCTCCCATTTCCACAGATGGCATTTCAGAAAAAGGCACGCACGCACACACACACACATGGAAAGAAGAAGGAGGTTGCTGGTCATTCTGCTGGACGCCTATAATCTCAGCAGCCAGGAGGCGGGAGCAGGAGGCTTGCCAAGAAGTCAAGGCCTGGATTCCAGGCTCCCAAGAAAGACCTGTTCTCAAACAAAACAGCCCCCCAAACCCTCCAAATTATATAAAGCTGGTTGTAGTCATGTGCCATATTGGAAAATGAGAATTTCAGAACTCTAGAGTATTTTCATTTAAAACAGCACAAGTTAATAGGTAATGAAACCTAAGTGCTTCCTAAGGCTACTGAAACTGACTTTACAGCCAGGTCAGGGGTACACACCTGCAGTCCCACTATTCCGGAGGCTGAGGCAGGAGGATCAGAGTATGAAGCCTAGGCTACACAGTCATACCTGATTAAAAACAGAATCAGAGGCTGGAGAGATGCCTCAGCAGTTAAGAGAACCTGCTGCTCTTGCAGAGGACTGGGGTTCAATTCCAGCATCCACATGGGGCTTACTACCTAACTCCAGTTCCAGGGGATCCAACACCCTCTTCTGACCTCAGCAGGCACCAGACACACATGTGGTACACAGACATACATGCACGCAAATAAATAAAATAAGAATAAATCTCAAAATAATTTAATTGAAAGTAAATGATGACACCAAAGCAATAGACTACTTGGTTAAACTAGTAATACTATGCCTGATGAGCAGAATATTAACTTGCTTTAGAATTTAGAATACTGGGTCTGGAGAGAGGGCTTAGCAGTTAAGAGCACTGACTGCTCTTCTAGAAGACATGAGTTTGGTTTCCAGCACCCACATGGTGGCTTATAACTGTCCATAACTCCAGTTCCTGGGAATCCCCAGGCACACGTAGTGCATAGATATACATGCAGGCAAAAACATATAAAACAATAAAATCATTTTAAAAATTTGCAGCTTGGGCTACACTAACTAGATGTTATCTCAAAAGTAAAAAAAAAAAAAAAAAACAGAGGCTGGGGATGCATCTCTAGGGTAGGCACAGGAACAGCAGCAGCAGCAACAGATCGGATCACTAGAAGGCAGTGCTTCTCCAGACATCTCGACTCATCCTCCAGGGAACAAGTCATTCTGTATACTCTTCAATAGAAAACACACACACACACACACACACACACACACACACACACACACACACACACACTTTTTCTGAACTTGTTCTAAAGAACCAGCATGATACTAGACATGAAGACCAAATGAGGGTATTACAGAAAACAGACCAGACTTTATAGTCCTAAATAACATGCCTAATAAAACTTAACAGTATATTTAGGAACACTACCTGACTTAATTTACCTTATCTGAAATAATGCAATATTAGGAAAACTATCATTACAATCCATTATGATAATAAAGTTGTTACAGAAGCTAAAAAAAATAACAAAAACAAACAAAAAACAAAACCACTGACTATATCCAGTCCCCTTTCAACTAGCAAACAAAAAAACTTCCTTCTTATCAGTGACCAAGAACTTACATATTAAAATAAGATATTTTCCTCTAAAATAGAGAATTAAAGTAATCTAAAACAGTTATGATGCATTTTGATCTTCACATACAAATAAGAGGTTGGGGGACAGAAAAAAAGACAGCCCCATGTAAAATAATTATAATTGACATACAAAATGCTCACAGTAAAGAAGTCCCTAAAGTGAAACACTACAAGGCTATGGGCATGGCGGGGCACAACTGTGATTTCAACAGAAGGACGGAGACTTTGAGGCCACTTGGACTATCAAACCACACCCAGTCTTAAAAAAGGAAACCAAAAAACCAAACCAATCAGACATGAGTAGTTTGATGATGTGTGTGTATAGAGATGCATAGAAAACACCTGACAGGATGCAAACCAAGTTATTATGTTAGATAATTAAAAATAAAAAAGAACCTTGACCTTCACCCACAAATATAAATATCTGATTACTCGGATAGTCTTTTATATACTTGTAGATTTTTTCAAATGGGGAAATCCCAACTGTAAGTACCCATGGAAAAAATTAATAGAAAACTTACAGCAACTGCAAACATATTTTCCTCTTCTAATGAAGACTGTATTCTGTCTCTGGGGACAATAATATAAAATGAAAAAGCTTTATTATAAACAAATGTGTAAAACCACCTTTAAAGCTGTTCCACATTCTAGGCAGAAACAAATAAGCTGCCAATTAACTAAATCATCACATTTAATGTAAAATGTAGTACTAAATATGTGATTAATCTAATTTTGACACCAAATAAAACTGTAGTTACTACTGTAGCCTTTAATGGCATCTGCTAAGGACATATGGCAAAATTAATCATGATTTTCTTCCATTATTTCATAATAAAAACCCAAACCACCAAGTCTCTCTTTCCCACTTCCTGCAGCCCTGGCCTGCCTCAAACTTTCAATTCTTCTGCCTTGACCTCCTGAGACTATGCATGCATATTACTATGTCCGGCTAAAGACCAATTTTTTTTGTAGTTATGACCTGATAGGCCCCTCTTCTCATGACTCTTGACACCTGAAATATTAGAAATGATAAATCTCAAGATTAGCAAAGCCTACTCTAAACCTATCTCTCACTAAAATGTAAGTTAATTTGCCTAACTGGCTCGTTACCTTACGTTTATCTCACTTATGAGTTCTAGACAACTTTACCTATACAAAGACGCAAGCAGCCTCCACGTGACCATCTCTTGCTGAAGAAGCCAGAGCATGCTGGCTGTCTTTGAAAACTTCTGCAGTCCAGGGGTTGCTCGGCTTACTATCTTACTCAGTATATTCACCTAAATTAAAAACATAGACATAAAGAGGCTGTTTTCCTACAATTCCGAGTTACTAGTATCTTTGTATTCAAGTACAGAGTGCTAAGAGGAACTTTGTGCAGTACAAACACATACTTTCCCTGCCTACTTCTTATTATGTTTTTGAATAAAATGCAATGTAGCACTCTCATCAGAAATGACGCTAATTTAAGCAAAGTATGTTTATGTGAATATACATAAGAGCTTAGTATTCTTTATTTATTTATTTTTGGTTTTCAAGACAAGGTTTCTCTGTGTAAAAGCCCTGGCTGTTCTGGAACTCACTTTTGTAGACCAGGCTGGCCTTGAACCCACAGAGATCGACCTGCCTCTGTCTCCCAAGTGCTGGGATTAAAGTGTATGCAAACACGCCCAGCTAGAGCTTAATACTCTTTAAATTTCAGATCCAACAACAGTAACCACAGATATATTTTTTCTCTCCATATATATACCCAGAGGATAAGTTAAATTTATATCTTACAAAATCATATAGACTAGTAACAATGACTATCTTAAAACTATGTCTGAAAAAATTATGACATGTAACAAACCAAGAAAAAAATTTCTTAATGATTGGTACCAAAACATATTATTTCTAAACAAAACTTCAACAAAGCTCCTCCTTTCTCTAATTTGGTGACCTGAACCCTTTTTAGGACTGAGGCACAAGAGAATCTAATAAAAGTTATAGAAATATCCCTCTGAAAGACACACAAAACAGTTGAACAGGAAGGTTAAGGCCTGGAGCAAAGGCAATCTGTTTACAAGTGATGAGTAACACAGGTGAGGGACTGAGGAACAGGGTTTCCTCACTAGAGTACAATCACAACGACTTACCCACCCTGTAGGAAATGGTCTGGCTGAACCCAGTGTTTAGGAGAAGCATCACCTGCACATTATTCATTCACTGAACCCACAGCTGAGGGCTGATGAGATGGTCTACTGGGAAACGCTGTTTGACGCCAAGCACAGTGGAAGGATTGACTCCCACAAGTAGTCTCTGACCTCCACACAAACCCCCCTCTCACACAATAACAGAAGGTTTAAAAGTATTCAATGTTAAAAGATGTATTGGCTATTATTATTCTGATTTTTGGAGTGCATGTGTGTGTGTTGTGTATTTACATGTTTGAGTGGTTATGTAAAATGCTGTGTGTATACATGTGGACGTCAGGAGTTGTTTAGAGTGTCTCTAACATTCTCCACTTACTTACTGAGACAGGGTCTCAGTATGTAACCCTGACTGGTCTTGAACTCAGAGATCAGCTTGCCTCTACCTCCAAGGGCTGGAATTAAAAGAATGTGCCACCAGACCCAGTTTGCCACCATAATTTTTGAGAACATGTCTTCCTGAACCTGGAGCTCACTGCCTGGCTAGGCTGGCCAGCCAGCAAGCAATCCCCCTGTCTCTACCCTGACATCCTCTTAATACCACTCACCCGGCCACGTACTGAACTCAGGTCCTCACACTTGTGTGCCAACCACTCTATTGGCTGGGCTGTTTCCAAGTCAACACTCTGCTCTTCTGGAGTTCTTTTCCTTGTTTTATAAACAGCAGTTTGAGGGTCACAGCCAAACTGAATGAAAGCTAGAGAACCCAACACTGCTCCCACGTATGCATGGACTATCACGTTCAGTACCTGGCAATAAGGGGTGCATCTACTACCATCAGCGAACCCCGCAGCCCAGAGTTCACAGTTTGCATTAGGATTCACACATGGTGGTGACATTCCATCACGGGCTTTGAGAAATGTCTCATGAGAGGCATTCACTAGTACCACAGAAACAGCATCACTGCCCTGAAAACCCTCATCTGGCCATTTCTCCTTCCTGCCTCACTAGACCCGTGGCAGCCAACAATCCTGTCACTATCTCATTGTGCCTTTCCAGAATGCCATACAGTTCGAATCATACGTCAGAAGCTTTTCAGACTGGCTTCTTCCGTTTAACAGCATGTATTAAGGTTTCTGTGTCTCTTCACGACTTGAGAGCTCTCATTCTCCATTTCTGGATGTTTGATTCAGTCACAACTAAAGGACATCCTGGTTGCATCTACGTTTGTATGAACAGAGCTGCCTCCCGCCTGTGTGCTGGTTTTTGTGTAGGCATACTTTAAATTCACTTGAGTAAATACCAGAGACTACACCAGTGCCAGCTTATGTAGTAAGACCATGTTTAACTTTACAAGAACCCACCCGACCGTTTTCCCTCATGGCTGAGCCACTGTGCACTCCCATCAAAGACGGAGAGTCCCTGCTGCTTCACATGCTGCTGCCCGTGGGTGGTGTATTTTGGACTTTTCCGAAGACTGACTGACGTGTACGAATGTGTGTCTGTGTGAGTTTATGCACACCACCTGCAAGTAGGTGCTAACGGCGCCAGAGGCCACTGGATCCTCAGGAACTACATTACAGGCAGTTGGGAGCCACCATGTGGGTGCTGGGAAATGAACCTCAGTCCTCTAAGAGCAGCCAGTGCTCCTAACCACTGAGCCCTCTCTCCAGGCCTGTCTTCCCGAGTGTCACCATTTTAACAGGCTTGCAGCTGTCCGGCCTTCCCCTTGCTATCTGACGATGTGACACATTCTCTACGCACACTTATTTGGTGTCTGTGTACCCTCTCTGCTTAGCGGCCTGTCCCCTTCTTTTGACCAGTATTAATGTGTTTTGAGGGATGACTCATCCCTAGCAGGCTCGAGGCCCAGCCAAGTAAAAAGATACTTTCTAAGAGTCAACCTGGGTCTGCTTAATGGCCTTGGCAACAGCAGCTGAAACATGATCTGGAGATGGCCTGGACCAATGAGAGGCAGCCATGTCACAGCAGCAGATGCATATTCAGACACCCCCCAGGGTGGGATGGAGGGTATATAAGGCTTGCCTCTTCCAGAATAAATTGAGCTTGTTTCCACATTCTCCAGGAGTCTGTGTGGTTTGACTCAGCGCCTACTTGGCCCCCTCCCCCAAACGGAACAACAGCAAGGACCCTGCTACATTTCCTACAGTTGAATTTTAAGAGTTCTTTGTACATTGTAGACTTTATTTTTTGCGGGTGCACATGTATATGTGAGTGTTCTCAGCTGTGTATATGCAGCTGTGCTCGTGTGTGTGTGTGTGTGTGTGTGTGTGTGTGTGTGTGTGTGTGTGTGTGTGTGGTATCAGGTCCCTTTATTGTTCTCTACCTTATCTAGTAAGCCAGGGTCTTCCACTGGACCTGGAGCTGCTCTTCTGGCTCTACTTGCTGCCAGCAAGCCTCCTGGATCTGTCTACCTCTCCTCGCTGCTCTCCACAGCTATGTGCCACTGGGTGCCAGGGATCTGAACTCAGGCTCCGTGATTACCGCCAGCCTCTTTCTCACAGAACTGTCTCTCCAGCCTCGGACTTTCTTTTTGGCTTTTTGAGAGAGGGTTTTTCTGTGTAGCCCTGGCTGTCTTGGAACTCACATTGTAGACCAAGCTGGCCTCAATGTCCCGAGTGCTGGGATTAAAGGCGTGCGCCACCACCGCCCAGCTGGACTTTCCTTTTTCAAGAGCAGATTCCTCTTTTTCTCCAAATAAGATTCTACGGACCCAGAGTATGTAAAAAGCAGAGACCCTCTGACCAGTTCCAGTGCCCGTCTACCATGCAACTCAGTAAGCACAGAATGGGAATTAGCAGATTAACATCCAAGCACTGAACTTTACCAACCATGGATGGAATTAATTACCTGACTGCCACAGATATTTTCATACTCCTCTACAAGTTCAAACACTGTGGTTGAAGAGTGCTTCAAGAAGGACTGCAGGAAATCAGAGAACATACTCATGGAGGCTACAACACAGGAGACAAGAGGAACCAAGAGTAAGCGACATAGCTCTAGAAATCCCACTGGTTTAAAACCCACAAGAGCAGCTACAAGTCTTTTCCCTCCCGCCAACACAACTGTCTTTTTAAGAACTAGTGACTTGGGGCTGGAGAGAGATGGCTCGGTGGTCCACAGCATTTGCTGTTCTTGCAGAGGACCCAGGCTTGGTTCCCAGCACCCACATCACATAGACGCTCACAATCATCTGTAACTGCAGCTCCAGGGGACCTACTGTCCTCTTCTGAACTTAAAGAACACCAGCCCTCACATGGTACACATACACACACACACAGGCAAAACATCCATATACATAAATATTTTTTAATTTTACAAATTTTTAGCCGGGGCGGTGGTGGCACACGCCTTTAATCCCAGCACTCGGGAGACAGAGGCAGACGGATCTCTGAGTTCAAGGCCAGCCTGATATAGTGAGTTCCAGGACAGCCAAGGCTACACAGAGATCTCTGTCTCAAAACCAAACAACACAACTTTACAAATTTTTAACCGTGTTGTTCAGTGGCCTTAGGTACACTCACGTTGTGGTGTTGCCCATCCATAGAGCTCCTCCTTCTGTAAAATTTCCCTCTGTAACCAATCAGTAGCCCTCCAGCCCATATCTCCTCACCCCCTGGTAACCATCACTCTACTTTGTCTCTGTGAGTTAGGCACTTTAAGTACGTCATGAAAGTGGAGTGATGCAGTATTTCCCCGAGACAGGGTCTCCGTAGCCCAGCTGGTCTCACACACAGATAAGAATCCACCTGCTTCTACCCTGAAGTGCCAAGATCACAGGAGTGCTCTGTCGTGCCCGAGGGCCTCAGTATGTTTAGATTTCTCCATTTTTACTAGCAGTTGTTATTTCCCGAGTCTGATTCTCTCTCTCTCTCTCTCTCTCTCTCTCTCTCTCTCTCTCTCTCTCTCTCTCTCTCTCTCTCTCTCTCTCACACACACACACACACACACACACACACACACACACACACACACACACACACACACTTTTTGAGAGAGGCTCACTAGATAGCTTTGGCTGGCCTGGAACTATGTAGATCAGTTGCTGTGCACCCTTAGACTCAGATCCACCTCTGCTTCTGCCTGCTGAGTGCTGGATTAAACACCTGTGCCACCACACACAACACCGATTTATTATATTTTGCTGATGGTATTTTGTTTAAGTTTCATGTAACCCAAGCTGCCACAATTCTGCTACATAGCCAAGGTTGGCCTTGAATTCTTTTTGTTTTTGTTTTTGTTTTGAGACAGGGTTTCTCTGTGTAACTTTGCTCCTTTCCTGGAACTCACTTGGTAGCCCAGGCTGGCCTTGAACTCACAGAGATCCGCCTGGCTCTGCCTCCCGAATGCTGGGATTTAAGGCGTGTGTCACCACCACCCGGCGGCCTTGAACCCTTATTTTGCTTATACCTCCAGGTATAAACCTGCATGAGATAAAGCTGGTGCAGTGAGAAGCACACTCGTTACACTGTTTACCATCTGCGCTGGTTACGCCGATGGTAAAATGATGAAAATGCCACACAGTCGTGCACAGGTACAGACTCTAGAAGCAAATGACACTTTCCATAGGGGAGAGGATAATTAACCCAAACTCCCAAGTTACAAGACCACCTGCAAAACAGGACCATGGCCTCGGATTCAAACAAAGCGGATCAACAATGTTGTCTTCAAATCTAACCCTAAAGTAAAGAGGAGAGCTGGCTAGCAACCCAACAGTCTGCTGTCTACGTTAAATGGGAAGATACTGTTCAAAAGGAGACTGAGCAAGGTTCTCCGTCTTCTCAAGACAGCCATGGCTGGGGCCGGAGACGGCTCTTCCATAGGACCCAATTCAATTCCCAGCATCCACACAGCTGCCCACAACCATCTGTAACTCCAGTCCCAGGAGATACAAGGCCCTTTTCTGGCCTCTACAGGTACTAGGCACGCAATGGATGCACAGACATACATGTGGGCAAAACACCCAAAGACAAAATAAAATAAAATAAAATGGCCGTGACTAATTAGCTTAACAAAACTATACTGTAGGAGGAGGACCAAGCAAGATGAGGGAGGAAAGGGGTGACCTGCAAGCCAAGGAGAGAAGCAGGCCTTAAAAGATCTAACCTCACAATGCCTTCATCGTAGACTATTAGCACTAGAATTCTGAAAGATCGTATTTGTTTTTCAAGCTACCTCACTCAAATTAAAACACACACACACACACACTCTGTTATTGAGAAAGAGTTCTGCTATCTAGCCTAGTCTCAAACCCTCAGAGATCCACCTGCCTTTGCCTCCCAAGTGCTAGAATACAGGCCTGTACTACGATGCCCAGAAAAAAAGCCACATTTTGATGATGTTCAGGAACAGGTTTCCTTGATCTCAACGAAGTAATAATCCACTTAAATCCCCAAGCCAATTACCAGCCTCTCCAGGGTCGTCTTCACGCAGCATAACAGCACTTAGGTTTATGTCCTCGGTGACATTGTGGGGCTCCATGTTTGTGTAGAACCCTAAACGCTGCGATGAGAATGCAGCCGCCCAGGTACTGTCGTCCAGATTAGTTACCTTCAAATAGAAAGGAGAGCAATGGCGGGCGCCATCGTCATTAAATAAGCAAATTAATAATGATACAGTGCTTTTCCATCTTACATGTTTTTTTGTTTTTTTTTTTTGTTTTTTTTGAGACAGGGTTTCTCTGTGTAGCTTTGCGCCTCTCCTGGAACTCACATGGTAGCCCAGGCTGGCCTCGAACTCACAGAGATCCGCCTGGCTCTGCCTCCCGAGTGCTGGGATTAAAGGCGTGCGCCACTACCGCCCGGCACATGTTTTTCATTTTAAAGACTGTGATCTTGTTAAGGAAGCCACGAGTTTTGTTTTTATTTTATGTATCTGGATGTTTTGCCTGCATGTGGGTCTATGCATCACTTTTGTGCATGGTGCTCAGAGGCCAGAAGAGAACACTAGGATCCTCTAGGCTGGAGTTGGAGGTGGTTGTGAGCCAAGATGCAGGTGTTGGAAATCAAACTTGAGTCTTCTAGAAAAGCAGTCAATGCTCTTAATCACTGAGCCATCTATCTCCCCAGCCCCAATACCTGAGGATTATTCTTTTAGCTTTAAAAAATTTTTTTGTTTTACAACAGGTCTTATGTAGCCCAAGCCCACCTCCAACGCACTACGTTGCTAAGAATGACCTTGAACTTCTGATCCTCCTGCATCTATCTCCCGAATGCTGGGATACCAGGCATAGACCACCACTGAGACCCTGGCTGATTCCCAAAAAGAAAAAAAAGGAGGTGGGTTTAACCTCTAACAAATCAAAGTTAAAAGGCAAAACTACCCTTCAGGCAATACCTAGTCCAGATAACTTTATATGCAGTACATAAAAATCTCCAGGCCTGTTTAAAAAATCACAATGTCAAAGCCAGAACCATTTTGATTTTGGAATTAAACATGCCTTGAGAGTCTACTAATACAGCACAGTTTTTGTTTGTTTCTTCGACACAATGCATTCTTTTCCTCGTTGGTATATTTAATAACCAGGTGAAGCCACCGCGTGTTATAGCGTATACAACATTTCTGCTGCTGTTTTCAGTACTGTCCCATAGTGACTATGGGACTCCTAGAGACTCTCTTATCCTTTCCTGCAATGTTCTCTTCCATCTTGAGTACAAAAGCCCGGCTTAGGGTCTCCTGTACTCTTACAACACAGACGGCTCCAGTCACCAAATGTGGGGAAGAGGGTTTTCCTTACAAAAGCCAGGAATCACTTTGGAGGCAGACACAGGTGGGTCCTCTAATTCAATTCGGATCCCGCCTACCGTCAGATCCCACAGGTAGACAGTCATCTTCTTCCTTACCATGTCTCTCATCTTTTAATAGTCACTCTCGTTTATTTGTTTTGTTCTTTGAGACAGGGCTTCTCTGTGTGGCCCTGCTGTCCTGGAATTCACTCTGCAGTCCTCAGCCTCCTGAGTGCTGGCATCAAGGGCGTGAGTCACCACTGCCCAAGCCCTCACCCCATTTTCAAGACAGGGTCTCTCACTGGATCTGGAGCCCACTGCTTTAGCTAGACTGGCTGGCCAGTGAATTCCAGGTTCCGACTGTCTATGCCCATGCCCCCATACCCCAAGCCCCCAGTTCTAGGGTTACAGGGTTGCCATACCCAGCTTTTACATTACTGCTAGGGGTCTGAACTCAGGTCTTATGCTTGTGAGGCAAGCAGTTTACACCCCGAGCCATCCCTCAGCCTTCTTTGTAAAACAGCCAGGTGTGATGGTGCAGACACTCAGGAGGAAGAGGCAGGTAGATCTGTGAGTTAGAGGCCAGCCTGGTCTAGACAGTGAGACCCTGTATCGAAAAAACAAAACCACAACCAAAACCAACCAACCAACAAAAGAGGACTGGCTTTAACAGCGATCCACAGTTTTAGAATGCACTTCATTTGGTGAGCAGTCAGATTTGGAAATTTACCTGTCTCTAAATGTCACTACTGTAATGTCACTGCTGTCATTTTCCTGTGACGTGACATGCTCTAACATTTGATTTTGTTCAAATGTCTAACCAATCCTATCACTCCACACAACCCGAAATTACTTTCATGATGACTATAACTTCGGCTTTCATTAAAAGGCTTTTTTAAACATTTTTTTTAGATTTATTTATTTATTATGTATACAGCATATATGACTGCAGGCCAGAAGAGGGCACCAGATCTCACTACAGATGGTTGTGAGCCGCCATGTGGTTGCTGGGAATTGAACTCAGGACCTCTGGAAGAGCAGCCAGTGCTCTTAACCTCTGAGCCATCTCTCCAGCCCTCACTAAAAGGCTTTTAAGCCAAGTATTAAAGTGCATTTATTTATACATACCATGGATAGATTTCCCAAGAATCCAGAAGACTGTGTGTGCCAGGGAGACCTCCCTTCTGTTCCAAGAATGCAGGAAATATCTGGGTGTCTGAGTAAGCTCCGGCTTGGTGGGGTAACTACAATGAAAGGTCAGGAACCATCAACACAAAGCATGTAGGCCAACAACAAAATATATTTCCAGGGTGTGGGGGATGGGGGGGGAGCTGGCTCAGTTGGTAAAGTGATTGGGGGACAAGCACGAGGACCTGAGTTTGATCCCTAGTATCATGTAAGAAACTCTGGCACAGGGGCGCACGCTTGTAATCCCAGAGTCGGGGGAGGAGACAGGACACCAGAACTCTAGTTAGGCAGTCTAGACTAATCAGAAAGCTCTAGGCCCCAACGGGGAACCCACCTCAAAGGGCTGGATGGCTCCTGAGGAAAAATACCCAAGGTTCAACTGTAGACTTGACACGTGCACATGTATGTGCATGTGCTCCTGCATGCACATACACACAATCCCCCAGACACACACACAGAACATGCACATATACATGCTCCTACATATATAGGAACATGAAACACCCACACGTACACATACAAAAGAACAATTTCTCAGTTTCAATTATTTAGATGCAAGTCAAACACTTTAATTTTTGCTATGAAGAAATTAATTTATTTTTCTGAAATTGAGCTTATCATACTATTAAATTTTTTTAACTATAAAATATACTTTCAATATAAATATAACTGCGCAGACAAAATTTTAAAGCCAAGGCGGCACCAGTCAGCAGATCCTTCACTGACTAATTTCAGAGAGCACACTGAGGTGTGCAGTGTAGTTAGTGGGCCTGCCCTTTAGAGCAAACGGTTGCTTAAGTTCAGTTTTCACTGTCTAAACAACAGCACCCACTCATTCACACCGGCTCCTCCAAGGCTGCCTTCTTGTTTGGAAAAGCAGGTAACAGTATGTCACCATTACTATGTACTGATATAAAGTACAGTCCTTGTTCCTAAGAGTTCAGATAACTGTAATCATTATCATTTATGCTTACTTCCTAATACTGTAGCCACATATTTTATTATGTAAATTATATAAATGTTAGCTGGTATGATGACTACTACTCTATTAAATACTTTCAATGCAGAAACAAAAATCTTACAAGGATGTCGAAACGAGCTTGGAGTTCGAGGAATAATTTGGCTTCTTGGTGTAGTATTTCCAAAATTTTCATCTTGGTTGGCCTGAACTTAGGAAGAATTAAGGAAAGTTTTCCATGTAGAGAAAAAAAAAATCACTGTTAACTATAGTTTTATTACATACACAAGATACATGAATACATTTTCTTCAAGAACAAACCATTTTATCGCCACCACCTTTTCTGTGTACATAGTTGTTTATTTCTTCTGTCCTTAAATTCTCAGATCAGAATTAAGTAATATGTACTGACTACTAGTTGGCTACCGTGACATACTAGTAGGGAACCAGAACATGCTTTCAGAGACACAGACATCTTAACCTCACAGAAGTTCATTGAGAGGGTGTGTCCACCAAGTAAAACACCTGTGGAGAGGGCTGGAGAGATGGCTCAGAGGTTAAGAGTACTCGCTGCTCTTCCAGGGGACCCGGGTTCAATTCCCAGCACCCACGTGGCAGCTCACAACTGTCTGTAACTCCAGTTCCAGGGCATCTGACACCCTCACACCAATGCACATAAAATAAAGATAAATTAATTAAAAAAAAATCTGTGCGGGTAATAAACCAATTTTACCACAGTTCATGTTCAATGCCTCACCACTGATTCAAAAAAATCCTGAAATCCTGCACCACTGATTCAAAGCATTCTGCAATGTACACAATTCTTAAAACACAAAGGATACTTAAAACTCGTTTTTGAGCACTTTGCTTCCTTGCGGTCCGCGTCACTTCTGCCTCCCGGATCACAGGGGATGACATCTCCCCAAAGCTACTCCTAAAAAAAAAAAAAAAAAAACAGCATAATTCAGCTCTTAGACAGCATTTACAAAAACAAGAAACTTTATCATTACAGTTAAAGCAAAGGATCCTGAGTCGGTCGAGGACAGGTCACTACAACAGCCAAGCCTTAAATCTTTTTGCCAGGAATACCCTCTTTTTTCTAAGTCTTGCTCGCTCCCCCAAATCCCACTTGATGCTCAGCTGTGAATCACCTCTTTCACTTGTTTTGTTTCCTACACAGTTACTTCAGGACCTAAAATGTGTACTATAGCAACTATCTCCTGAAGGTAAATCTTTCCTGTAGTGGGTCAAAGAGCTGCTTAGCTGCAGAACTCCCTACAAAGACTTCTGCAGTCTCTAAAACACAGTGATGAGTGAGCTCCTTGACGATGCATAGGTGTTGGACCAGACTGGCACCTGCAATCCAAACTGAACTACATAGTAAGTTCTAGACCAACCTGGATACAGAGTGAGACCCTGCTCCAAAAATCAAACCAAATGAAAGATGAAACAGGTTCTGAGAAATTCTTCAGGTAATTTGCTTCTCATGCAAACATCATACAATATATTCATACAAACTAAGCCAGTTGTCATGTCACTAGGCAACATAATCATATGGGACCAGCGTTGTATGTATGGCCTGTTTGTTGACCAAAACATCGTTATGCAGCACCAAAACTCAAATTTGTGAGTACTATGCTGTTTGGCTTGGTAGGATGAAGGGATTCTAGTAAATTAGAGAAACAACCCTTCAAGTGATGTCCCCCCAATGTACACTAAGGATGTCTCCTATCTCAGTACTACTGAAGTCACAGTGCTCCAGACCTCCAACATTGTCACCTGAAGGTTCACAAACTAAACCATACGGATTAAGATTTTAAAACAACAAATTAACATGCTTTTCTTCCACTTGAAATCTTCAGATAACTTCCCGTGGCCTACAGAATCAATTCATACTTTCCAGCATATTATTTACAACACGATCCCAATTTAGGAGGTCAGCCTATGATGTTCACCCACAGAAAGACTGCTGTGAGCCTTCAGCCACACCAAGCGTGAACACTTTCCATAACTTTAAACCTCTGAGTATGTTTCTTCTACAGAGTGCTCTGCATGTGCTCCTTGTCACCTGGTGTACATCTACATAAATTTTCCATCAGACAGCTTTATGGAGATACAAAGTTCCATGTTGGTAATCTGGTTCTCTCTCCTGTTCTTCAGAACCTCAGGCTCGATAGGCAAGTACTCTACCACTGAGCTGTACGCCCAGCCACATAACTTGGTTCCTTAATCTCTTCCAGGCTCCCTGTTCCCCGACAAAAGGATGGCAGTATAGATCCTCAAAGGATAGGTCTAAGACTTAATGCACTATTTAAATCTTAAGGAACACACCAAAATAAACCTAGCACAATGTATTCCGTATTAATAATAATGTGATATCATTACTCAAAAGACCAGCTAGCAGGTTACCTGTGACAGGTTTCCCTGACACTCCTGTGACAGGCGGATTTTACGCCTCCTCCGTCTAATTTCCCGCAGCACAGTATATAACACTTGGCTGTCTTCATTACACAATCAATTCCGTCTATGCCAAGGGACTCGAGTAACCCATCTTCGTCGCAGGGCGAGCATAACCACCTGATCACATGAGAAAACCAACTACCTGGTGCTGGCTAGTCTAGGCTGACCACAGTGACACCCACGTATGTACCATTGATATGAATGAATAGACACACACACACACACACCCCACTTCGAAAGTCTGTACTGAGATGTCAAGTACTGCTACTGACTACTGGCTGTGTGTGACCCCGGACTGCTCAGTTAGCATTTCGAATGCCGGACCATCACCACCTACCCCGCCCACTTCGGAGAGAACGGCGGCGAGGGAGCGGAACGGAGCCCGGAGCCCGGACCCCGGAGCCCGGGCGTGGAACGCGGGGATCTGCATCCCCTGCATCCCGGCTCCACCTCCACCAAACGGCCTTTCCTCCATGAGGGGCCAAACCCCCGGCAGGGAGAAGGAAGGATTGAACGGCACCGCTCGGCTCCTGCTCCGCTCCCCGCGAAGGTACAGTGTCACCTTCGCCGTCCCGCCCACAGGCGAGAGCCCCGAGCCTTGGCCCAGGCGTCCCCGCCAGGACTGACCTGTCCATGGCTGCCACCTCCTCCACCTAGAACCTTGCGAATTTAACTGCAACCCGGTGGCCGCCGCGTTTCAGCCTTCCCGCTCTCCGGAAGCACACCCTTCGACCCGGAAGCGGGCCCTCGAGAAGCCAGCCCCCCTGCGACAAGTACTGAGAAGGGAGCAACAGGGTTCCCACTTGGCGCATGCGTGATTTTTCGCCCACAGCCGCAGGCCCAGAGAGCGCAGGCCCGGAAGTGTGCCAGAACGTGACTGCGTGGCTGGGCGGTGCCGGCCCGGCGGGAAGGGGGCGGGGGAAGGGGCGGGGCCTGGCGCGTTGCCCGGGGCGACATTCGTGGGCGTGGTCTGGGTGGAGCGTCCAGGTTAGGAAACCACAAGTCGACCTGGCGTTCTGATGGAAGGAGTCCCCCTCTGCGTTCCTGCGTGGAGTCCTGCGACACTCCACAGGAGCGGGCCTGTCTCGGGGGCTTGGGGTGTAGCCTCAGTGGACGGGTTTTGAAGTTGTTTCCTATCATTGTTATTTATGGTTCCTTTACAGAACCAGCCATCTTTTTTTAAAAATCGAAAAGCAATGCATAAACGCCACATGGGCTCACGCCTGTAACACCAGCGTTTGGGAGGCTGAGGCAGGAGGATCACCATGAGTTTGAAGCCAGGCTGGACTAAGAATAAGACCTTGACTTAAAAAATAAATTAATAATAATATAATAATAATAATAATAATAATAATAATAATAATAATATTTTAAAATTTTAGGCATGGAGACCTTACCTTTTCCAGCATCTCAGAGGTCTCAGGCCCCCCATATGTCTAGAAATGAGCTCAGGTTGAACCACAGGACTTCTGGCGGTTAGATAAAAGGCAGCATCACTCAGGAACCTCAAGATTTTCTGTCCTCAAAAGGAGTCTCGCTCCCTAGCTCTTTGTCCTCCTCATGATCCCCACCCTGCACTAATTCCTATTCTCTGTTCTCCCATCATGAGATTATTTCTCTCTTTCTTGACTACTCCGGCTTCCCTAGGCCTGGCCCTGTCTAGTCTGTTTCTCTCTTTCTCTCTCCGCTCTGGACTCTCCCAGACACCTCTGGATCTTTTCCCCCTCTTACTATAAAAAACGTTACCCCTAATGGAGCAGTCATGTCGGCAAAAAAACGCAGGAAAGTGGAGGCAGGGGGCAATGTCATCCTCAGTTCAAACCACATTAGAGGCAGGCAGATGTGTGTTACTTGAGACCTTGTCTCAAAAAAAAAAAAAAAAAAAAAAAAAAAGGAAGAAAAGAAAGAAAGTAGTGATATAGTATTCCCTTCTAATTCAAAATGCTATCTGGGTAAAAAGTAGCATTCAGGGCCTGAAGAACTCAGTTCAGTTAATTTTTTTTTCCAATTTGAAAGCAATCATTATTAAGTGACCAGATTACAAAAATAGTGTTAGAAGGGCCAGCTGGTAAGCAAGCTTGCCTCGCAGGCCTAATGATCTAAGTTCTGAAGAAGAAAACCAACTACAACTGTCTTTTTTTGGGGGGAGGGGGTTTTGAGACAGGGTTTCTCTGTGTAGCCTAAGCTGTCTTGGAACTCACTTTGTAGACAAGGTTACCCTCAAACTCACAGAGATCCCCCTGCCTCTGCCTCCCTTGTGCTGGAATTAAAGGCGTGTGCCACCACCACCCAGTGAGAAACCCTGCCTTGAAAAACAAACAACAAAAATCCAACCAAACAAACAAACCAACAGGCCAGAGGCTGCAGAGACGGCTCAGTGGTTAAGAGCACTTGCTACTCTTCCAGAGGACCTGAGTTCAGTTCCTACCACCCGTACGGGGCATCTCATAACTGACTGTAATTTCAGGGTATCTCACATCCTCTTCTGGTCTTGAAGACACCCATGGATACATACAGAGACATAAACACACATAAATAAAAATGAAAATCCTCAAAACAAAACAAAGCAGGCCAGGAGATTTACAGTGGCAGTCAGCAGTTACCCAGGCTACCTGAGCAAACAGGATAAGGTAGTCCACTCTGTTTTATCTCTGCAACAAAAGTAATTCTGAAATAGCCAATCCACTTTTCCAGTAATTATTTAATTAAATTTTGGGGTGTTTTTTGTTTTGTTTTGTTTTTTGTTTTTGTTTTTTGTTTTAGTTTGTTTGCCAAGACAGGGTTTCTCTGTGTAGCTTTGGTGCCTGTCCTGGATCTCGCTCTGTAGCCCAGGCTGGCCTCGAACTCACAGAGATCCGCCTGGCTCTGCCTCCTGAGTGCTGGGACTAAAGGTGTGTGCCTCCACGCCTGACTCCCTTTTTTTCTTTATAATTTATTTATTTTTTATATTTCTATGTGCATTGGTATTTTGCCTGCATGTATGTCTGTGTGAGGATGTCAGATCTTGGAGTTACAGACAGTTGTAAGCTTCCATGTGGATGCTGGGAATTGAACCCAGGTCCTCTGGGAGAACAATCAGTGCTCTTAACCGCTGAGCCATCTCTCCAGTGCCTCAATTAACTTTTCTATTTCTGCCCTATTCAGCCCCTTTCTGTTTATAAAGCCAGCCCCTCTGCAGGGCTTTGAGTTTCCCTGCATTTTGTGTGTGGGTTGCTGCCCAATTCATGAGTCTCTGATAAGAGTCAATTAGGTCTTTAATATTCATGTTGAAGTTTTGCTCTTTGACATTTCTAAAACAAAATGTTCACCTAGTCACAATACGCCTACATCACATCAATATTGACAGAATGGCACAATTAGAGCTGGGTTTGGTGGCACATGCCTATAATCCCAAGTGCTTGGGAGGCAGAGAACAAAAGGAATGCCTGAAGTCTGAGACCAGTCTGTTGGTCTATTTAGCAAGTCACAGGCCAGCCAGAGCTGTGCTATCTAGAGTCGTGTTCTCTCGTTCTCTCTCTCTCTCTCTCTCTCTCTCTCTCTCTCTCTCTCTCTCTCTCTCTCTCTCTCTCTCTCTCACACACACACATACACACACACACACACACACACACACACACACTACTTTTTCTGGCTTCTATAGTTCTAGTTTGCCTTGAGTGCCTTCGTGCAGCCTTTGATGTACTTTCCTGTAGGCCTGGGAAGCTTGTCCCCTGTCCAGTGATGGTTCCTGACAAGATCAGCACTGGGGAGGCCTGTATTTTCCGTGCCCAGGGCCTTCAGCAGAAGCATTTCTACCAATGAGCAAGTCATCAGTGTTATTATTCTCTCTCCTACCGACCACCTTGCCCTCCATTTTGAAGTGAGCCCCAGTTACAATGTTTTTCCTATGTAAGAGTTGCCACGTGAAAGGATGAAACGGCGCTGGCTGGTCGACGGAAGAGTCGCGGGCCGTGGTTACCAGACTTGGAATGGGCTTTATTAGAAAGAAGAGGGGATAGGAGGGAGAAGCCAGGCCTGGCGGAGGGAACAGAGCAGGGACAGAGAGAGGAAACACAGGAAGGAGAGGCACAGAGAGAGTGTGGGGTCCGTGTGTGTGTGGCTTTTTAAGGTGGGGATGCAGTCACCGCTGATGACGTAAGGCGCCAGACAAGACCCTGAGCTGCACGTGTACAGACTCCTAACACTATGGTCATGGTGTCTCTTCATAAAAATAGAAACCCGAGCCGGGCGGTGGTGGCGCACGCCTTTAATCCCAGCACTCGGGAGGCAGAGCCAGGCGGATCTCTGTGAGTTCGAGGCCAGCCTGAGCTACCAAGTGAGTTCCAGGAGAGGCGCAAAGCTACACAGAGAAACCCTGTCTCGAAAAACCAAAAAAAAAAAAAAAAAAGAAATAGAAACCCTAACTAAGACAGGTCCCCAGACCTTAGTAGGACCCCAGAACTTAGCACAACTGACTCCATGATGAAAGTGCCATTCAGGCCCTAAAACTCAGTATAAAGACAGCACCACCAGGCAAAATGAAAACCAAGACTTAATTCATCAAAATCCAGAGTTCTGGGAAAGTCTCTAGATATACTAACCTTGCTTTTTGGCTTCTGTAGTTACACTTCTGGCTAACTGTTCTTGTTAACTGAAGTACATCAACTCAGGATATGTTTTTTTTAATGTGTGCTTAAAAGCTCACCCTGAGAAAGGCTCAGGGCTACATTGGGATCTGGTAGATACCCACAACTTTGGTCTTGACAGACTGGGTAGCAAAAGATATAGGAAAAATAGTTAGATTCCAAGAAGTTTATGATCAGGAGAGGGGAAAATATTTACACACGGAATGTAAATTGTGTGTGTCCTGAAACTCAGGTGTTTTATTTGAATTTCATATGGAAGAGGGAAAGTTGACAGACTATAGCCTAGGCTGGTGTAAAACTTATAATCCTTTTATCTCAGCCTCCTGACAGTTGGGATTATAAGTATGTGCCCCCAAGCCAGGCCTTAATTACTGATAAGTAAAAACATTAAAGTTATGCATATTAATCGAGTACCATTTGATGTTTCTTTCTTTTGTGTTTTTTAGATATGGTATCACTGTATGCCAGGACAGCTAGTAAGTCCCAATGCCACCCAAGCTGGCCCTGAACTCATGGCAATCCACCTGCCTCGTCCTCCTCATCACTTGTCACTTCAGTTCCAGGGGATCCAACACTCTCTCCTGGCCTTCACAGGCATTGCACTCACCCACACACATAATTAACAAATAAAAAGTGACGTTCACCTAAAAGAGACAGTAGCTGACTGTGAGCAGCGTCCCTCCATGGTCTCCGCATCAGCTCCTGTCTGCAGGCTCTTCCCCGGCTCCCCTGGGTCATAGACTGTAAGATGAAACAAACCCTTTTGTCCTGGTTAGTTTGTGTCAACTTGATACAAGCTGGAGTTATCTGAAAGGAGGGAACCTCAACTGAGAAACTGCCTCCATAAGATCTGGCTGTAGGGCATTTTCTTAATGAGTGATTGACGGGGGAGGGCCCAGCCCACTGTGGGTGGGACCACCCCTGGGCTGGTGGTCCTAAGTTCTGTAAGGAAGCAGGCTGAGCAAAGCCATGAAAATCAAGCCAGTAAGCAGCTCCTCTCCGTGGCCTCTGCAGCAGCTCCTGCCTCCAGGTTCCTGCCCTGTTTGAGTTCCTGTCCCGACTTCCTCCAATGATGGACTATGATGTGGATGTGTGATCCAAACAAACTTTTTCCAATGTACTTTTGGTCTT